TTATCAAATGTGCTTAGTGTGCGGCACCTTCTCACATTTGATAGTCTTCAAACAGCGTTTATCATAAGTCAGTGTATCAGTTTGTATGATTGTTCTACCTTCAAGGTAATAAAACAGCGATTTTAAGCTATCATGCAATTTACATCACAAATTTGATATTTGCTTTTCATTTCTCAACTTAACATTGTTTTTCACAAAGCCATTAACTTTGGATTCAACCATTATATCGTACTTATAGATATTATCACCGACACATCTAAGATTGAAGAAAACAAACAAATCTCCATTCGAATTCGATTTCAGTTATTGTTATAAGTCTATCAGCAAATAATCAACACGACGTGATAAATGAGCAACATTCTAAGTTTAAAAGGATATAATCATACTTCATATTAATATTTTTCTGTCACTTTACATACTAAAAATAATTCTCTTTGCTTTTCCTATGATAAGGTCTGATTCGTCAATTAATATTAAAGATTGTCAAAAGTATTGAATTCTATGGTTTCAGATAAAAATGAACATAGGACCTAATTAGCGCAGTGCACATTCTCACGGGTCACCCATCAAGAGATCTTTCTAAAATAAGAACATATTTAGTAAAATTCTGTTGTTTATTAATTAAACGGCCTATTCATATTTGCGCTTTCTACTAGAAATTCAGAAATGTTTTAGTCACAAAACAAAGTATTCATAATTGAAGAAAACAGGGTTACTGGTGTGCATATATGGTGAGTGTATGTCCTCTCTTCGTAGGGATGCACCGGTTCCGGTTTTAACCGATACCGGTTCCGGTTCTGGAACCGAAGCCGGTGGTACCGATTGGAACCGATTGGAAGCGAAACCGGAACCGGTTGGAACCGATAAGAACCGAAACCGCAACCGACAGGAACCGGTCGGTACCGAAACCGGAACCAACTGGAACCGGTCAGAACCGATTGGAACCGAGACCGAAATCGGTCAGAACTAGGGATGTAACGATGATGATAACCGCAGGTACAGTTATTGGTTCAAATCAGTTGTCAAGAAAAACAGCATTTTTTAAGAAAATAATGATATTTTATAAAGGTTGACGAAAGTAAATCAAGGTCGGAGAATTCGAATCTGAAGTCTGTTTTTCAAAATTTCGAAATGAATTTTTTCGTGAAAAGAAATTTTTTTTCAGAAAAATATCGATATCTTATAAAGGTTGACGAAAGTAAATCGAGGTCGGAGAATCCGAATCTGAAGTCGGCTTTTGACAATTTTGAGTTTTAGTTTTTCATATAGAATATTTTTCAAGGATAAATTTTTCCAGAAAAAAAAGACGACTTTCAAGGAGCTGTTTAGTCTATGGAAGAGAAAATTGAAAATCTCAAGGATTTGATTTCAGATTCGGATTCTTCGGCCTCAATTTACTTTCGTCAACCTTTATAAAATATCATTATTTTCTTAAAAAATGCTGTTTTTCTTGACAACCAATTTGAACCAATAATTGTACCTGCGGTTATCGTCACCGTTACATCCGTAGTTCTGACTGATTCCGGTCTCGGTTCCAATCGGTTCTTATCGGTTCCACCGGTTCCGGTTCTTTTGAAACCGGTAAAAACCGAAACCGTGCATCCCTATCTCTTCGAACATAACAACATCCACGTTCAAACCCACTTACACTCATCGATAATCACATGCACCCCTTTGATGAGCTTAAAACAAATTTCTTTTCCGGTGCGATTCGGTTCAATTTAGCATTCCTCGAATTTCTCTCGGTTTTGGGTTCGGTTTAAATTTTGAAAAACCCCAGTCATCCCCATGTTTGCCTCCCACCCGCGTCATCATATACATCTAAAGAACTATTGAAGCAATCCACCTAGGGTGCCTTCAGTTTCTAGTCTTATTTTCTATGATTTGAGTACCAGATAAGAATTAACATACTATTGATGTTTAATGTAATTATACATCTATGACTTTTTCACATTTTAAAACAAAACATTAAATGTTGTTTTTTATTTTATTTTTCCAAATTTTAATCAGTATAAATGTCACAATGAAAACCTTGTTGAGAAAATATGAATAAGAAAGAAGTTTTAAAATGCTTTTTAGATAAATAGTAATTTTCATTTCTTCTCAACAAATAAACTTTGAACATGTACATTCAAATCCAAATACACAAGCAAATTTGTGCATGTTTTGTTTCTAGTATTGATTGATAATAATTATTAAGAATTTAAAAATTTCTACTTATGTAAGTAACAGATCAAATTCTAATGTCTTGATAATAATTAAATTGCAATTATTTCAACGTGTATGTTTTCATTGTATAAAAATTCTATCAAAATGCATATTATTTTCTCCCTTGTAAATAACACTCTTAAGAAAATATTTCATAATCATGTTCGAGAATAACAGGCTCTCTCTGATAAAAATACTAAGTACACTCAAACTGAAGTTATAAAACAGAAATGATAATATCGATTCTATATGCATTTCCTTATCTTAATACACCAAGCAAATATTTATTAAGGGTCCAATTATTTTAACATTTAATCTTTGAGGTAATATTCTTAAGGTTTGTATTTTTCTCAATTTTCTAGTATTTCGATGGATTTCACGTGCATTCGATTTGATTTTCATGCCATTTATCAGTATAGGTCGACCGTTCTTTGGCTTATTGTTTCAGTACCTTTTAAGTTTGGCATTGAATATTGATTGGATAATTACTTCTCTAGCGTATTACAAACTCAATATTCTTTTTCAAAGTACGTTCATTTCTGTCTAATACTTGTATGTATCTAGCAATTATTGATCAATATTTAGCTACACGTATCATTTACTCCTCGTTAATAAAAATTTCGTGGTATCAAAATAAAATAACAGTTTCAAAAAAAAATTTGAACGATTCATAAAATTATAAGTGCAATCTCTTGATAATAATATTGTTATTTTCATCTGTTTACATTATTGAGTATCCTTCCTGTATTTATTACAGTTTTGTTTGGAGTTTTAGCTTATTTTAATGTAAAATCAATATCATTTAGGGTAGCATGTCTTGTTTGACATGAAAAAAAAACAATAATTAACAGTAATGGTACTTATACAAGATGTATGCAACGGATTCTGCATTATATCCTTATATTTTTGTTTTCTCAATGTCATATAATGTAAGCATTTATGGAGATTCGATCATAGAACTCGATTCGGCTATAACTACAACATTATGTTACATGACATTCTCTGGGAACATAGATTATGTGCATGTTATTATTCTATTTTGATTATATTATATATTTTTATTTCTGTATTGAAACGATTTCGGTAAGAGGTAGTAAAAAAAACAAATCTTAGTTGAAACATAAAAGATTATTAGTACAACTCCGTATGAACTAAAATACCAAACTTATATACTTCATTTAAGTCAAGAAATAATTTAAAGTTTGAAGCAAGTAGACTGTAAAAACTTGAATGATAATTAAATAAGGAGTACGACAGAAAGTTTCTAGACAAAAATTATTTATTATTTTTCGTGTATTTGAATGCATAGGTAGGATATTGAAATTAGAATTTTTCTGCGAATTTTTAGCTATAAATGAACCCTTGAAAGGACTAAACAATTTTATATCGGAAAAAAATCTGTAATTGAATTTGTTCGAGATTTGATCTACTTTATGAGAAGATATAGAAAATAATTCTCTACAAAGCGATATATTTAAATAAAATGTTTTGAAGACTGTTGAAGTGCAGTCAAGTCTTTTATGAGTAAATTTTTCAATAGAAAATATATCTTTGCACATAAAAAATAGTCATTTATTCGTAGAGTATAAAAACTATGAACGCAATGAAAGAAATTGAATAATCTTCTATTATGATTTTATCTTTCGTATTATGTCATGGATTTATATTATGATATTGTTAATCACTTGTTATTTTATTTCTTGCTAATACTCAAATATCTTATTTTAGTACTTCAATTTTGTAATATTATCTTTGACCTATATGAATGATACAACCTAATCATAAATGCGCATCAGTCGATTAGTATAACGCCTCGCAACTGTCACAATACAAAAATGTGTAATGAATGGCAATATATATATATATTTCGCTTCCTGTACAATTTATTTCAAAACTGCGCAAAAATTTTTTACTCGAGGATAGGAAACGCCTACTCTTATTAGGATAGTAATAAATGTCCTCTATATGGCTTAATATGAGAGATTTTCATTCTTGTAAAAAAGTTGAATTTTATCCGATGATGAACAGAAAAATATTCTTTCAGGAGAAACAAATCATTCTTATTCTCTATCGAAATAATACATTTGATTTATCTAGTCATTATTTTTATCACTATCTCTTCTACTTGGAAGATTAATGATAATGCTCGATGTCATTGCACAATATCATCACTTATGAATAGAATAATACGTAGGCCAAAAAAAGAATATTAGAATTCTACTCAGCAATTAATATAACATGACACAAATATTTACGATGAATAAATCCATGAATTTCATGCACACATGAATTCATCGTTTCGTTCCCGACAAGAAAATGATATGTTTTAAAGAATGACCACATATATGTATATTCATCTCAATATCTTAGAATAGAATATAAGCAACTACCATAGAAAGACAACATATGGCTATTTGTTGAAGTATACAGGACTAAAAAAAAGCATGCTAATGCTTCTTATATGATAAAATAAGACAATCCATCGCCTAGAAATCAATGGAATATATCAGAATAAACATTAGCTTTATATTGGAGTACAATAATATAACAATACAACGCAATATGTTACAATCATACATATTTTTCGGCTCAATCAAGCATATACCTGCTTTCAGTTAATACCATCTTGATGTCGACATCATTTTCTACCATTAGCATATCTTGTCACTACGATATTGACAATTGACGTCCCCTCATTACGCCTACATCAACACGGATATAAATAAAAAGACAAGCTTTCTCCATTTTACAGACAGAGATCCAGACATTCATCCATACTAACAATTAGCATCATGTTCGTTTATCACTACTGTTTGTATCTTTTAGCATTCGGTGTTTTAATTAAGTAAGTCTAGTGTCATCTAAATATTCTTTGTGTTTTTCATTTGTTTAAACTAATCTAGTTCGAGATATATTGAGCGACCATTTCACAATGATCCAGACGAAGATTTATATGTTCTAAATAATTATTACGTAGATCGTGCTTATCGGTCAAGTTCTCTCGAACGATATTTGCGTAATCTGATTGCTGAAGATATTCGTGATAGTGAAAAATATGATGAAGCAATGCCATTCGAACGGCGAAGCAAAGCTATTACTAAAGGTGATCCACGAGAATTTATGGGTTAAGCATGCAATTTTTATTGTACGTGTTTTTCTTTTCTCGAAAATAAATAAATATTTAATCTATTACAGCATATAAATAACTTAATTTAATATTACAGAAAAAGAAATAATCGAAAGTTTTGAAATATAGCAATTGAAATAATAGAATTTATTTACTTTGTAAAAAAAAAAAGCAAAAGCAAACATATATTCAGATCTCCTAATAATTGACTGCTTACGCTTAATTGCAGTTATTATTTTTTTGGCTGAAACAGAAGATAAGAGTAGATTTATCATAATTAGTTTATTATCTTACGCCTATTTGTGCATTAACGGTCGTTTACAAGTTGCATAATAAGTATTCATTATGACTTTGTTTTCTATGATGCACTTTTTTTTCATACTTAACTGTCGAGATTGCATCAATACTACGTAATTATTAAGATAGATGTACATCTATTGAAATATCTTTTTTTTCAACATCTTCGTTCACAAAAAAAAGAAGCATCGTCGATTTCTTTTAGTTATATCCGAATACAACACATTATTAAAATTTATGCATACATGTTTCAAAACAAGTAAAAAAACATTAAAAAAAAGAACTTAATGACACTATCCTTTGGATATCACCAAGAATATTTTCTTTTGATAGAATCATAAAATTCTATTATTCTAATGATTAAATACAATCAAGCATGTTCAACAGTAGCTATATAATATTGTTGTAAAATCTGTTTTAACTATAAAGTCAAGTTTTTACATGAATCAGTTTATGTGCATGTAACACAAAAGAAAAACTAATATACATTGAATTATTCATTCAATGTCAAAACATAATCAATGTCTAACGTCTTCACAATAAGTCATTATTTGATTAGTTCTATTTTTTATTTTTGTTGACGCAAACAATAATAATGATATTAAAATGGCAATATACTTTGATAGACGGCTGATGGCAACTGTTAAAATTAGATCTCAAATAGAGAAAAGACATTAACTACATAGAATTATAACAGAACATAGTTGCGAAGGAAAACAAAAGTTATTGTAGATGTTCTATTTAAATAGAATGACTATCTCAATTTCACTAATATTCTATAAAATGTTTTGATGTATAACGTAATTGATATGTTTTGCCGGGTATGACTTATCTGATTCGATATACATGTAATAAACCTTCTTTTTTCTATGATCTCATATTGAAAATCGTCTCATTGTATTAAACTTCATTTACAACAATAAAAAAAAATCATTGAATCATCATCTAACTATGGAACAAAAATGAATAATAGTTTTAGTATATGACGACATAATATTATATATCTCTTAGAAGTCAAGATGATTGATTTTATGTTTCGTATTTATTTTAGAATGATAACAGTTGCGAAAGAGATAAACAATTCGATTCACGGGAAAGTATTCGCAGGTATCTATTCGATTTTGAGCTGGGACTTAATGTATCTTGTACATCCCCTAGTGAACTATATCTATCATAGTAAGTGTTCGCCTCTATGGCTTGTTTCTGAGAAGATCGAACGTTTTTAGTGAATTTCGACCTGAAAATTTGCTCAGAGAAAGACATTACTTAGACTAGTTTGCATACAAAAATTCAAAATTTTCTAACTAACGGGGAAATCTCTTCAATTGCCTTCCTTTCGATTTTAATGATATTTTTGTCTATAGGGATACTACATAGTGTTTTCACCAAAACCCTAAAAGCATTTGATTTCCAACTGAAATTTGACTAAGCTATCGAATTTTTATCTAAAATTTTATGCGTATAAAGAACTCAACTAGATTAGCTTCCATGAAAAATTCTAGAATACTATGAAGTATGTATACGGGGAAAAAATCGTTGAAATCGGAAGCGAGCATCCGAATAGATTCTCTCATTAGTCAGAAAGCTCTGAATTTTTTATACATACTAGTCTGTGTGTCGTACTTATGTTGATAAAGTTTCAGGTCAAAATTCACAAACAACATTCGATCTTTTCAGAAACAATGTATGATGGTGAATTCTATGTTTTTTGATAGATATGGTTTATTAAGACCTACAAGATATATGAAGTCCCAAATTCAAAGTCGGACGAACATCTAGAAATGTTTCATCGTTAGAAAATATCCTAATGATGAGAATCAGAATTACTAAATAAACATATAGTTTACTTATAAAAATAAGTACTTATCTATTAGCTACGATAAATCTGAACGTTCTTGTTCAACATATGACCTATGATAACTTTAATTATCAGTTTGTTTAAAATTGATCGATAACATATCATCAATCAATCTTGTTCATAAAACATTTACACTTTTACCATTTATGTACAGAAAAATAACATTTGATGTTTAACAGATATACACTTTTGGATATACTTGCATGTATCTTTATCATGTGTCGATAATAGATTTTGTTATTTTGCTTAATAAATGATTGACGTTTATACCAAAATAATTATTTAACCGAATGATTGCTAGAGGAATATACAAAAAGAAAAGACTTGACTGTCGATATTTATATGTTTATTTTCATTGATATTTGTCTTGAAAATTTTCATTAACTGATTAAGTCTTAATATAAGTCGTAAATGACATTGTATCAAATACAATAAAAAAAAATTGGGATATTGATTGTCAATGATAGCAAATATTATAATTCTGTTTAGTAATATTTCAAATTTTCGTCTTTATACAGAATATCGTCTCATTTTTCGAGTGAAAAATGACACATTCATCAAGTTCCAACTGTATACTAACTATACAAGTGCACAATTTTTCAAATTAAAACATTATTTATTCTCGGAATCTTTGTAAACAATGAAAATTTAAAAAATAAAGACGTTTTACACAAATATTCACTATTGAAAATTGAAATTTCAACGAGATTTTCTGGAAATCTCTCATTTTTGCTTTAGACTCAATCAGAGATCGATTTTTATATTTTAGTCTACAATGAAATTAGGTCATTCATAGAACTTTGAACTCGCTAGATATTCTTTTTGTAAAAGAAAAATAAATATCAATAAATTATTTTGCATATAAAGATAATCCTAAGGATAAATACTTTTTAACATGAACCATTCTCAAAATAGAAAGATTAGACAACACGAAATTTTAATACATCAGTAAATTTTTACTCAGATATTAATCAGTAATCTCAGAAGACATGAATTCGATGATCGATTTTGAAAATTAATCTGTAGAAAAATGACTTGTCAAACTGTCAAAATGCAATGAAAGTATTCCTATATACGAGATAAGAATTTTGAATCAAGAAAAAATATTTTAGATGAATTTCATTATTAATCAAGTCTGATGAATCAACAGAAAGAAAAATGCCGTTTGACATAAATTTCTTGATTGGAATCAGGCTTTTTCTTTCGTAATAAAGTCTATCTTTTATATTGTAGGCCTTTTTTTATTATATTGATAAATTTTTGCACGCATAAAATCACGGAATTATTTATCATACATGGTTTTTATTTATCATTTCTATTTTCATTTTGTTTGCTTTTACGATACATCATACATAAAAGAAAAAGATACACATGTACTAATCTAATAAATAAGAAATAATGAGAAGACAAAAAAAAGATATTCAAATGACTGAGTCCAATGTCTTGTGATGTTTTGACAAATGAATACAACTTTAAATGGATAATATTGATTGATCAACAGGATATCAATCGACCATCGGTTTTTGAACAAAAATAACAACGACTTTCAAACCATGTTTGTTGTCCCGGTAAAATTAATCGATGAGAACTCATATTTATTTGAAGTAAACATGGTTTTGTCTTGATCGGTGTTTGTATTGACGGTAATAAACTATATTCACCAATGGCCCATTGTTTTTGTTGATTATTATTATTCAAAACTGTATTAGTCTTAATATCAATCTTAAGAATTTGATCACAATTAATACATGTTCTTTGTCCATTGACACATGCACAAGAACGACATTTATCATTAGGTGGTGTAACCCATTTTGAACCCGATGGAAAATAATACATTACTAAAATAGGACGTGTTTTTTGTAAGAGACAAGGACGATTACATGTTGCATGAAGAAATTCACATGTTAAACGTCCATTTGATTGACATGCACATCTAGTACATGTATTACGATCAACCCATGACGTTTCACGAGGTATTTCAATATAACGACTAGATCTTTCACTAGTATTCGATGTTGATAAACGTTCAATTAATATGCAAAATTTAGGTGTAGTACCAATTGGACATTGTGGTCGTACACGTAATTTAGCTATACGATTTGGAACATTTACTGAATTCGATGAATCAGTATATGAATAACGATGATTTCTATTTAAAAAAAAAAGAAGCAACAAAATAATAAGCATATGATAAAGCAATATTTAATTGATGATAACGTACTCAAGCGAAAAAATATTTATTCAATTTAGGTTTTTCTCGGAAGTCATGAAATACTTTTCTAGTCACGTAGTCATTTCCGTCTTGTACTCAAAAACAAATTTCTATGGATTAATAAAACAAATTATTACTTTGATATTTGAAGTTGTTGTTGTTGTTGAATAGTTCTTTGTCGAATATTTGTTGTTCGATTTCTTTTTAATGGTGGTGGTTTTCTACATAACCAATGTCCGCCTTTCGAACATTTACAACCAACACATCCATCTCTTGATCGTATACGTACATCAAGTTGATTTGCTGAACAAATCATTGTTCGTTGTCTTATAATAGGTACATTGGGAATTGGCCATTTAGCTAAATCTTTGGATGTTGGTGATGAACCATGAGTTGTAAGAAGTAAAGTCAATGGATCAGCACTAACAGGCTTTCTCGGTGTAAGTTGACTGTAGAAAATGCGAATGTTGCCTTGTTCACAAACACAATATGGAGAACCTGGTATATCCATTCGACCCCAGGTAGCACCATTTATAAAACGATATCCTTGATGCCAACATTCACCGGATTCAAAAGCTGGCCCTGACCATGTGTAAAGCTTAATGTCAGCTGGACGACATTCTGCATTACTATTACCGTCTGGTGGCATCTGAACGAGGCCTAAGCATTGATGCTTAGGCCTCGCTACCAACAACAAAACTAAGACAAACACCAGATACAACACACGACACGACAAAGATCTACGGAAAAGATTTTATGTTATTAATTATATTTCAAATATTCTTGAAATCATTTACTTACATTGAAACACAATTCAGTGTTGAAGCCAGACTCTTGTACTAATGGTAACGTCGTTCGGCAATGTGTCACACACAGATGATTTTTATCTAAACATTGAAAATTTCCATATACTCTTGTGGTACAACTATTTATCAATGTCAAATGAGAAAAATGAAAAAGAATAACATAACCAGAAAAAATAGAACTTGTATGAGAATTTGTATAATTATACATTGTTTAATATTGATAGTAACAATATTGTCGTCACATATAAATCAAAAATGTTTTTTCTATTTTGGATGCAACAATAAAAAGCAAGAAACAAGTATTGAGTGGCAACACGCAAATCATCGCCTGAAAGCAACATTCATACATATATGTTTAAAATAAACAGGACATATACACATAGTTGTTGCCTTTTATTTGATTTGATTGAAAAAAACACGTCTCGACAGTACTATTCAACACAGTAGACATACCAAAGTGTTGATAGATTATGAAAAGTACATGATATAGAATCATAAATATATGAAATTCTTTTTTTTCAAGGTAACATTCAAATAACTCAAGTGAATGGAAAATGAGAAGACATATTTATATATAAAGAAAATGAAAGGAAAAGGAAAAAAAAGAATAATAAAAGAGCAACATCACCAAATAATACATCTACTTGAACGAGAGTCGAAGCAATGAGCCTCTTCATTTTCAAGTGGATCAATATGTAAAAATGGTATTCATCAATCAAGAAAGAAAACAGAGCCTCAATAGATTCTTAAACACAAGCGCTCAATTTATTTTTTATACATACGTTATATATTTGAACATAACTTACCTTTGCGGTTTTTCTCCTACGTTTTCTAAAAGTCGTTTTTAAATGTAATATTCTCTACTTCTTTCTTAGTTCATTTTTTTTTGATGATGTGAAATTATTCTTGTGGCTTCAAAACGCATAGAGATTGCATACAATAAGTAATCAGCTGTGTATGTATGTTTCTTTCTCTCTCTCTTGCTTTCTTCCCTTTTCTTTCAATCAAAATATTTTGTGGACAAAAAAAGAACCAAGAGCAAAAAGAAAAAATGTCAAGAATTTATAGAGACAAGAAAAAAGCGAGCGAGCGAGAGAGAGAGAGAGAGAGAGAGAAAGACCCATAATCTGATGATTTTCTTTTCACGTGGGCAATTCTATCTTCATGTCTGTGTATTCTTGCATTTCTATCAATATTCTTATGATTAGCAAAAAAAAAATAAATCAAAAATAATAATATAAAGAAAATAAAAGAGGCAACAAAACAAAGTTGTCTTTTTCCTTCTAACTGTTTCGTCTGACAAAAGAACAAAACTACAATAACAAATAAACGATTTGCATCAGTCAGTCATACATAAATAACTACGCAATCAGATCGTTCTTCGACCTAGGACAAAAGCCTATAGGTTCTCTCGTCAAAACAGTACATACGATACTCAATCGGATGTATTCTGAGAAACGTCCTCAATTGCGGGCAGTATAACGATATATTACACCTCATATTTATGCGGATGACAATGAATCGAGCAACATCTTCTAATGAAAAAGACAGAATGTTTTATAGTTTAGTTTGGTCGATCGTTTTTTTTTGCTAATAATCCCATGTGGTTTCGATTGATGCATATACTGACATATCGACTATGTCTTAGTGTTTTGTTTTTATGGTTAATGGGTTAAAGTTTATTTGTTAGTTAGGACATCACTCAAGAATTTTTTTATAGATGATTGATTACTATTTTTTCGCTCTTAATTTAGCTCTACTAATCATAACACTAGTAAATTCATTTTTTACAATAAATAGTAATCACGCTATAAATATTCAATATTAAATAACATATTCTATAGTTACCTCGTGAGAATAACAAACTCGTTTCATATTTATCTTATGGAAATATAATCTACTTCTTATAGATTTTAACTAGTCTTCCTACCTGGAAATGTTTTCAGGGAAGTAATAATTATACTTGAACTTCAAGTCTTCATCTTGATTGAGTATTAGATGAGATATAAAAAAGAAAAAGAAAAAAGACATAGAAAAAGAGAAAATAATAAGATTTATATATCTGATATAACTCTTTTTTTCTTCATCATCACCATCTTGAGCGGCACGCTCAACTTCTTCTTTTTTTTTTTTCTCTTTCACATTTAGAGCGTGTGACAATGACCTTCAAGCTTTCTGCATCAATTTATACTTGCATACGGAATATTGAATGCCAGAGGGCAGACTTTGCAGACGACTATCATCTTTGAACATAGTCTATGAAACTGATGTGTTGTTGTTTTTTCTTTTCTCTTTTCTTTCTATCAGCGACATATGAATACCTAATGATGAAATCTATATTGTTCGACTCACGAGAAAATGGAAAACGGTGGAAAAATTAAAAAAAAAACACAAAACACAAAACTCTATTATTAATAATTGAAACTGACGTGATTGTTGATACAAAAAAAAAACGAAAGAAGAAAAAGAATTTTTTTTTCTTCTCTTCTTATTTTCAAGGTTATTGACATCTTTTCTATATCGGAAACAGAACAGGCGGAGATTACCTGTTCGTGACGTGTTATGATAATGAATTAAGCATGCGCTACACATACAATCATCACCTTGGTTTGAATAAGACAACCTTGACAAAGTGTCTGGTTTATATACTATATCATATATATATATACATATATATACATATATATATATGTATATGTTAGTCTTTAGTTGTGAATTACATATGTATGTGATATACTACTAAATAGAAGAGAAAAAAGACAATAATCATATATGCAAAATCAAAGGTGATAAATCATTCTAATTTACTAGTTGAGATAGTTTTATATCGAGAATTTATCATAATCATGAATTCTTCTTTTATATATGTATTCAATAGTGTAACGACATTGAACAGAATACAATAAAAAACAACTTATTTATTTGAAAGAAAGAAGAAAAAGAACAAAATAAGAAAAATGTATTATTCGAATAAATATTATTCAAAATGGAAGAAAAAAATATTAATTTGTATACATCAAGCTATCTTCTTTTTCATCTTTCAACGAAAATATGCATGGTTACATAAAGATATTAGCGGGATTTTATGCATAAAATGTATGAATTCATGATTTTATCGTTGATTAACTTGTATTAGAAGCACCACCTGTACCTAAAATTAGTCCTATTGTAAGAAAGTAATTCATCTATTTCAACGAATATTTACCCAATGTTGCTTTCATACTACTTTCAGCAGATGCTGTTGGTAATATTTGTCCAGCTGTACCTGTTTCACTACCTGTTTGACCTGCACATCCTCCCGTTTCATTTTGAGTTGATAATTCTCCAACGGTACCTGCTGTACCTTGTCTCACAGTTTCTGTAGATTGTTCACCACTAGGTGATTTTTCAGTCGACATATTTCTATTTTATATATATGGTTTTTTACTTTTATGTAAAGTTTTTTTTTTTCTTTTTATTGAAAACGAAACAAATCTTTTCGATTGATATGAAAGATGAAGAATTTTATAATTGATTTTGATACTTGAGTCAAGTATGTATATGCGAACAAAAATATGAAACGACGACATTTTCAATATTTCAATCACATGTTTGATCAACAATTGCTTCATAAGATTTTTTTTTTTCTTCGTCTTCTTCTACTTCTTTACACTCACTAGTAAAAGAACAAGGTTAAATTTAGTTTGCTTTGTCAGGTGACTTGTTTTTACTATAGAAAAATAACGAAGGCGGATTGATTTTACATGAAAACAATTTTTATCTTTCTCAGTGAATTGAAAACAAATTGTTTAAGTCGTCTTTTTTCAAGGAAAAAAGAATCAAATAATCTAAAAATAGAAAAAAACGTTGCTCATGAAACTAATATAAAAACCATATCATTTCAATCGATGTTTGCAGGAATCATATAAGATATTGATGAAAATATTGACCTTAGAAATCAACATGATTGTCATTGACAAATAAATTTACAAAAGCTTTCTTCAACATTAATATCTTCAGATACAATTTATATAAAATTTTAAATAGAAATAATAGTTTCTTTTTTCAATCAATCATATAATATTAAGTCTTATTTGAAATGAATGAATTTCTTTATGTTGTTTATTTTATAATTGTTTTAAGATTTTTAATTGTCGCTTAATATTATTAGTAAAATTTTCCTCAAATATTTATTAGTAAATAATTCTATGGTTCATAAAAATTTTCTACTTAAGTTTAGATAAGTTAATTAGAGAGTAAACGATAGTTGAATAACTTTCTATAATGAGAAGGTAAAGCAACTCTAATGTCATGGTTTTTTTAATTATTTATAAAACATATAACATAGAATGTGGTTAAACAAAATAAGTATTTTTTTGTAAACAAATTATTTTCGCTAGATTTTTGTCAATGTTATGCTAATAATAAGTATTGATAATTAAGAATCGAGAAATAATTTGCAATGAAAATAAAATATTTATTAAAATTATGTATTCGTTGAAATATTATTTTTTGATAGATTCAATATTTTAATCTTTGAATATTCGATTTACTGATCAATCATGTGTGTTGAATTTAGATACATGTAAAAAAACAAAGACTTATGTTCTGATTGCCATATTATTTAAATAATACGACAAAAAAATATTAAATGAAAATATGGCATAGGCTAGTTAGAAACAAGTCTCTTATGACTCATGAGGCACAATAGTAACATTAGTATGACTATGTCATCAAAACGTTGATGTAAGATGTGAGTTAAAATATATTGAATTTATATTCTTAAGTAGTTTTTCTTCATATTCAGATAAATAGCTGAATGAATGCTTAGTTATTAATAGGTAACGATATTACATCGGTGAAAGCTTACATATTTCTGATGTTTGAATATATTTATTTCAATTTGAATTTGTAATCTAAAAGTGTATCGTATTGTAACTATAGACTTTCAATTTTTTATGTTTATAACTGCTCAAAAGCACTCTGATTCAAGCCTATACAAGTATATTTGATATTTGTTAACCGTATATATTATATTGATTGAGCTTTCTTCCAATTGATCGAATGCATTTGCAATCATTCTTTATCATAATACGAAGCCCTTTTTTTTTTTATTAAGTACATTTTATATGGATTAATTTGATATGATCGTAATTACGTTTTATGATCAAAGAAAACCACTATATGGTGATATTTTGATGGCTTCTGTTTAAAAAGTTATAAAATAAAGGCATTATTTACAATAAACTTAATATCATTCACTTTTCATTAATCAAATATTAACAAAATGAAATGTTAATTTCTATATTTTTCATAAAAGATCAGAATATATATATATAGAAAGTGTATAGTTGTTTCGTGAAACACCATCTAAAAAGAGTATTGAAGTATAGGAGTAGAAATTTGGACCCTCGTACAATAACAGATAATGGCGTGAACATCTGATGAAAAAATAAAAGTGATATTCTTTGTGATTTGAATAATGTTCAATGGTCGGCTTTTTGATTTAAAAAAAATAGACTATTTTAGCTTTTTAAGGGTTTGAAAAATTCTAGACTCAAAAAATGGCAAAGTTTCTATTAGGTTAGAGGGAAGTATCTTTTTCAAAAGAAATTAGAAGCAGACACAGAATAAATTGCAAAGATGAAACTCTCACGCAATTCTTTTTTTTTCTCTCTGACACGTCTACTTCGTTAGCACAAAGATACGTCAATGCTTCTGAACTAAAATACAGATTTTCTTTAAAAAACACCTTGGTTTTTAAAAGTTTTCTACGTTATTTTATCTCACAAGTGTTATAAAAGAAACATAACAATATATTTGAAATTAATAGAGAAGACTGCATTGAATGATATGACATTTATTAATTTTTAAAATAAAAATTTTTTCGACTTCAACTCAGTATAAGGGTCCACTCATGCATTTTCCATCGAAAATCTTTTTTTTACGAATTTCAATTTCTCTCGTGGCGGATGCGTACAGAACGGCTTATCAAACACATGATACATATTATTGATATACAATCAAAGACCGTATATGAATAACGTCTCGTGATCATATATCAACGATCTCGTCACTATATTTCTCGAGAATTAAATAAAAGAATAGTGAAAAATTTTAGTCCTACAGGCATTGTGCTAATAGCCATTTTTCTGTTATTATTAGCAGCCTAAGAACTATAGTATTGTAGATTTTGTTCTTTTTTTCAGTTGACTATGAAAATTATAAGTACCAATGAGATTAGGTGGAATTTTCTATGTATAGCAATAATGAATAAGATTGTAGCATATATACAAACTAGATGGCATCTCGACAAAGTCGAGAATGCAAATTAAGGTGCGAAGCACGCATATCAACTATGTGAAATTATCTAGTTTTCGAAAAAAAAATCGATTGCAGAGGCACACTCGAGTGGTGTTTCTCTTGAAGTTGTTCCTGTTCCACCGAAAGCGAAGGTTTCTGTCGATCGTAGTAACTTGAAAAAGATGAACTTCTTTCAAACAGCTGTTCAAAATCTGATCCAAGCTGAAAAGTAGCCATTGTAGACTTCATCACCGCGAAAACTCTATGAAAGCCTGTCAACATTCTTCTCAGAAACAGTATCGATCGATCGTTTAATTATCGATATGATTCATTATCTGCCATCACCTGTACTTACAGCTCTTTCATATTTGAGCCAAGAGAGTGGCGCCTAACTTTTGTTTTAATTATCTTGAAACTTGAAAAAAAATACAGTTCTGAAAATTTATCTTTTTTGAATGCAATTTATATGCAAACGGGACATTATAACAAAAATCGAAAAAAGAGGAGCTTGCGACTCGATCTCGAGGCTCTTATCTCACGTTTGAACGAAGATTTTCTAGTCTTCGGTTTTCAAGATCACAACGACACAAAATGTGAGGAAAGTGTGCGTATGTCTAGATAGAAATAAACAAAGAAAACTCGCGACGCAGTTCTATATAGGTGCTTCACATCTTAAAAAGTATACAAGTTATCATGTAGAAACCTATATCATACGTTTGTATTGGTTGTACATTTAATAAGAGTTTTTGACATAAATAGTAAGCTATCCATCATCGGTATGTCTTCTATCAATCATGATTTATATTAGTTATATTGAAAAATGAGAATTTAACTATCAAGCAATTGTTTAATGCTCATTTAATGCTTGAACAATTCAGAAGATCAATTACAGAGATTTTCAATTTCTTCATATAGTATTCTAGAAGATTTTCGCGTCTAAAATTACTTTATTTCTTTTTAATATCAAATTGGTTTTAATACGATAGCTTAGAGATGATTTATTAGTCAATGACATGGACGATATATTAATACACCAGGAGTAGCAATTAATTTTCCTAAAGGAAAAAAGTTTCAAGAAAAATAAGAATTTATTGCTTCCTCAAATTGATTATTTGACCTAAACATACATATATTCAATAGGATTCTGTTATTAATATATTAGGATTGACCTATCATCTCATGATTTTGTTTATTGGCATCCTGATGAATGCATTTCCTGTCATATATATCCAACATCTACTTTCATCAAAGGAATTAAAATCCACTCAACCAATATTTAATGGATAAAATGTAATGATTGATCTTTATTACTGTATTTTTACCAATAAAGATAAGCTTCGCATTTGATTTTCGCTGTTCATTTTGTTTTTCTTTTAACACAATTAACAATTGTTTTTTTTTTCTAAGGTTTAAATCAAAACGTCTCACAACAAGCAAACATATCAATTAGTTCAGAATCTTCGAACGAAGATCAACTAGCTGTTACCATTAAATTGCTAAGTTAACAATCTGAAAAATAACACCTTCATGTTTGGAAATGATTGTTAAGGTTAAAATTTTTTATCCTATTCCAAAAAGCAAGTGCCATTCTAATTCGAATTGCATAATGGACTGTTGGGTGAATTAATGCTCAAACTTCCAATTATCGCTCCTTTGAGAATAATTCCAGTGAAAAGTAACGTCTCCAGTCCAACTGTCCATCTCTAAAGGCGAAGAGAGACAGAAGAGGAAAAGAGCAAAATGAACTCATTTAAAAGTTTATCGTTTTCTGTAAAAATTCAACCTTGTACTCTCTATGCTAGTCAAATAATATTTGATAAACTATTGAATAGGTTCACATCCTTATCCTCGTCTTCAAGTTACTGATTCTATTGTGCTATTTAAGTTCTTTTTACTTATTCTACATAATTAATAAAAACGGTATATCAAAAGAATAAGAACTATGACCTTGCAGCATGATTAAGTACAATAGAAGAAAGATAAGGTCAATTATAGAAAACAATTAAAAATTTTTTTTATTTATGTAACATTTTACATTATATGTACTACTGATAATAAAATAAAAAAAAGGATTGTCAGAAATACTATCATTTAGTCATCATTTTTCTTTTATTTGAAACTAAATCAAACACATCAATCAAAAAGAAAATATAATGAAATTTTTCAATAGAGAAAAAGAATCGTATAGTCGATTTTCTTTTAGAATAATTTTATTCATGATTATATTTGTTAGCAAAAATTGACTACAGCTGGTGTTTCTCGTTTTTTGAATTTCAAATGAGATGAGAATATTATTATTATTTTTTTTCTACTTTCATTTATTTCTTTATAGAAGACGAAAAAACAATTTGGTTGTTAAATCATTATGAATACAATCAACATGAAACACCCCCATACTCGTTAAAAACCATTTTACCATTATTATTTATATATATATATATATATATAGAGAGAGAGAGAGAGAGATCGACATTGAGAAGTACTCTTTACTTTTCGCATTATATTAACATGATCAGCTTCACTCATCATAAAACAGAAACTCATTAACAAATCATTACAGCCAACTTGTTATTTTGTTCTTTCAATAGAAATATTCTCTTGTCGTTATTAAATGAGAAAATGATGATAGAGTTTCCCTTTTGTTTCTCTCTCGACAAACATAACTCTAATAGGAAAAAGAAATCACACTTAACAAGAAAAGAAAGCATCGAATTCACTTAGAAGTAGCAAGTGACATGAACCAAAATTGTAAGTCCTGCATTTTTTCTTTGTCAAACTGCAATTTTATATGTCATTTATCTTCTGGTTAACATCTGTTCTTTTATTTTCTGACTTACTATTTACTAACACCTGGATTGTCTATCACTGAACTATCTGCTTTTATTCTTTCTCTCGCCGTCTTTCGCACGGTCCTCGTCAATAAAATTATAGGTGAAATGTGCCATTTGCCATCAACATTCTATCAGTAGAACTAATCATTTAACCGATTGCATACATTGGTCGATATCAAAAGTAACATGTTCGTTCTCCAGAGTACTACCAATTTCGTGTGTAAGCAAAAAAAAAGAGACGTAGAAGGAAAGAAAAAAAATCGACTATGATGAAGACGAAGTAATCAGTTTGAATGGCTATATTTTATATAGTTATATAGGATTATAAGAAATATAACATAGCGGTAAATAGAAGAGAAAGAAATTGTCAAGATGGAAAGTGATTAACGAGCAAAACAACAAGTCGTTATTCATCTCGTAACATAGTGGTTATGCAAGTAATTAGAATAAAGAGTGGAGAAAGAAAAGTTCCAGCTTTTTTTTGGTGGGGGGAGGGAGTATGAAGAAAATTATTTCTTTAATCGACATAAAAAGAAAAGTATACATTGCGTAGGTATATTCATATGAAATTGGGATTAAATTAAGAAAAAAAAAACATGTTAACTTGCTCAAAGATCGATTGATTGTCTATACGCATTTCGTTTTGAATAGTTATTAACGAAAATCGTATGGACATATCATTGATTAAAAGTAGTTCGTCTTTATTTTACAACTAAATAAAAAAAAAATACTATTTGAAACAAACAAAAAATTTAAATATCTCAAAAACAGGTAAACTATTTTGAATATTTTCGAAAAGCAACTGTTGTTGTTGAACGAATACGTCGATCAGGAGTATATGTTGATGATCGTTTACGTATTAATGGTGCTGATCGTGCTCCATTTTTTCTAAAAATGAAAATGAAAGAAAATTATTTTATCAGACAGATAAATAAAAAAAACAACTATGTCATGCAAAAAAAAAAAAAAAATTTAACACGACGAAGAAGAACAAGAACGCGCAGAGTTATTATTGATTTTTTTTTTGTTTGTAAATTTTTTTACATGCCTACTTTTTCTGTTTATGATTTAGTTGAATTCAGTTTTAAATATCTAAATTTAACAAATCTATTTTGTTAATTATTTCTACATATTTAAACTAAAAGTCTTCTTTTTTTTTTTTTTTTAATGTTTATCAAACAATTTAAAATAAATGATTTACCTAGCATAAGATTTTGGTAATAGAAGTCCTTTCTTTACTGGTTTATCTTTAAGTATTCCAGTTAAACGATCTAATTGTGTAGCAGATAATTTTCCACTTGTAGTCATTTCTGTTTGAGTTGATCGACGTAAAAATTGCATACGTTCATTGGCAACAACTATTGTTGGTGTTGTTGATGATAATAATGCTTTATTTTTATCATCAGTTGATTGCCAATGAGCCGATATATGATGATCTAAAGATGTTGAACGTGTCCATCGATCAAAATCATCTTTACGATCATTCCATTTAAATGGTTCACGTGTATTAGTAGATGATTGACGATTATATATACTTCGTTGATACCATTCTTCGGATGGCTAAAATGAATAGTTTATTTTTTGTCAGTGGTTTTTATTAAATAAATTTACTTTAGATAATTCTTCAAGTCGAGCTGGATCTGGTATTTTTGGATGAATATTTGATTGACGACTTGAACGATGACCTGTATAAGTAATCCAATCTAATGGTATTTTATCAATATGTTTATCTTTTGTTGTTAAATGTAAGTCTAATGGTGAACGAAGTGTTCGATGATAATCTAAAACAGTTTCATCATTTGAATATGGAGAAAATGTACCAGATCGATATTCTGGATTAAATGAACATGATGATGAACGATAATTCTATAGAAAAAGAAAAAAAAGAATTTAAGTATAAATATATTAAAAAGTATTATAATCAAACTTGTTTCAGATATGTTCGCATTTGTTCAAGTGCATTTTCAGTTGCATTTAATTTTTGTGTACTATATGGATAAATAGGACCCGATGTTACAAATACAAGATTATCATCATATTTATGATTTTCTCTAAATAAAAAAAAAAAAAGAATATATATATGGATTTAAAGTATTCATCAATAAAAACTATCAATTACTAATATAAATCATCTTGCTCTATAGTTATGATTTCATGTAATACATGCAATAATGTTCTTGAATTATTTTTGTAAAAATTTTTAACTTTTTTTTTTGTTTTTAATTTTCTCAATTTAAAATAAATTTTTTATTCAATCTTGTTATATATTGAAAAAAAAAAAGAATAATTCATTTCATTATAAGTAAGATCATTAAGAAGTGATTATTCACAAATTATATATATGTATCAAGGGAATTCGTCGAGGAAAGTAAAAGTAAATCTATTAGTCATCTAAAACAAAAATACAAATATCTCTACGGAAATAGAAGTTATCTCTTATTTATCTTCATTGACAAAATCTTTATAAGAGATACTTAGAATAAGAATGCTGATAAATTTTTGAAAGAAAATGATATACAAAACTATTTCTCGTAGTTTTCCTGTCATTTGTTTTACAGATTTTATATTTTTTTTTATATGAATAACTGCTAACGATTATTTTTATTGTTAATAAAATAGATACTATATAAGATCATTTATTTAATTCATACTTATTTCTTAAACTTGAAAGTCGAACTCGTTCAATATTTCTTGTTAAAAAATTAATATCTGGTCGTTTAATTTCTTCTAATGATGGTATTTGTTCTTGTTTTAATTGATTATTTGAATGATGATTATTAATGATATTTTTATTACGTTTTTCATTTATTGTTGATGCTGATGGTGTTCGATCATCACTTGAAAATACTAAAACAAATGAAATATAAATCCAAAAATCAATATTCGTTTTTTCTTTTATATACATATAATTTCTTTATCTGTTAGTGGTACACCAAAATCTCTACTTAATGATGTAATCATTTCAATTGTTGGAAATAAATTATATCGAGCTGTTGAACTTAATTTATGTACATGAATAAGCTAAAAATTAGAAAATTTAATTTAATATAAATTTTGAAAAAAAAAACAAAAAAGAATATTATTTAAAACAAACTTGATGTAATTTATCAAGTGCTTCAAATGTATCTTTAGTAAGAAAATCTCGAACAAAAATTAATGGTTGAGAAATAATATCATGTAATGTTCGACATAATTTAATATGTATTAAATCTACACCTAATTTAATATAAAGACGTTCATTAAAACGTACGGAAGAATCATAAAGAATTTCAACATCTAAATGAAAAAAAAAAATTATTTAAATTAGAAAAAATTATCAACAATAATTATACTTTTTCCTTGTGGTTTAGGTAATTGTTTATAAAGTATATCAATAGCTTCTTCTTTTCGACCTTCAAGTATAAATAAATGTTGTTCATCATCAAATAAATGAAATCCAGTTATTATATTTAAACTATGACTTGTTTGTTGTGCTCTTAAAAGAAAAAAAGTTGTTAATCTTTTTTTTCTTTTGTTTTTTATAAATTAAATGAATACGAAATTTTACTCAGTTAATTTATATGTTGAAAGAGCAGCGACTTGTATATGTGCTGGATGTTTATCGAAGCCAAGTGCATTTGCATTGATTGTTCGAATACAAGTTTCAAGAGAAGTTAAAAATTTTGTATTATCATAAGAAAATACAAAAACAATACGAGTAAATGGTGAAATCTTTAAAAAAAAAACAGATGGAAATAAAAAATTCTTTGTCTTTTGTTATTTAAGAAAATTTTTACAATTGTTGTTGGTAACTGTTGATGTTTAACTAGTGGTACAAGAGGTTTCGCTAATTTAACAAGAATTTTCATTTGAGTACCACTTGAAAGAAAATCACCTTGTTGTATATGCATATTTTCTTTTGATAATGTACGTTTTGCATTTGATATATGTCCTAAAATACATATTTTTTCAATTAAGAACAAAAAATATTAAAAATAATTCTACCTGAACTAGATTCAGGTGCATGACATGGAACAACTGGAATATAAAATTCAAGTGATGTTTGTCCAAGCCATAATTCTGATAAATCTAATTTAACACATCCATGTGGATGCCATTCAGCATCTTTTCTTGATTTCAATAAATTTGTTTTACCTATGGAATAAAACAGAAAAAAAGATTAAAATAAAAAAAAATTTTTGTTTTTTTCCTCATTACCAGAAACTCTTCCAATTATTTCATCATTATTTTCTGAACCAAATACACTACCAATACATCGTCGACTATCTTCACGTTCATCTCGATCATGAATTTCAATATTAAGAATAGGAGAATTACGAAATTCACTCATTATATTTTCATTAATTAAATCTTGAAAATAAATAGAAAAAAAAACTTTTTTTAACGAATAAAAGCTAAGTTTTACTTGTTAAATATAAATGCAAATCATTCCAATAAATATTACGTGCTTGCAATTTTTTACTTGTTTGATGAATTGGTTGATCAAACAATTGATAAGAACAATAAACTGGTTCACATCTATTTTCAAAATATAACAATGAAAATTCTTCTTCTAGGAAAGAAAAAAAAACAAAAAAAAAAGATATTGAACCTTTGTTTTAACTCAGAATATGATACAGGTGTTGATGGCATATTTTCAACATGACATATTGTTATGGAAAGTGGATTAAATTCATTGGTAAGTGTTTCATTCATTAATTGATGATCTTCAATTTTAATACTAACAAAACAATCATGAATACTTCTTGGTAATATCGCATGATCATCAAGACGAGATGTGATTATTTTAAATCCTAAAAATTACAACAAAAAATTTCATTCGATAGATAACTAATAAATTCAAAGTGATGTGATCCATTGATAGAGTACATTAGCTTGAATATAATAAAATTAGTTTTTGCTGCCTTTTTTAACTAAGTAGAATATATTTCGATTTAAAAACAAAATGAGTCATTGAAAATAATCTGATAACTTTGTGTTTTAGAACTTTGATTCTGTACTTTAGTTGGATAGAATTCAAAGGTTATTTCACATTATACATAGTATAACAATGTAAAATAATTATCATAAGATTATAATTTCATTTAGTATAAAGAAACTTTAATATCAATTCGGACTTTATCATTCATTAGTAGATTGACTTGGAATATTAATTATGTAGAATATTTATAGAGTGGTAGATGATTAATATAGTGTTTTCAATTTTGTTGGTACTGAGAAATTCTTTTCATTAGGTATAAATTTAGTGATTAGTGTATAAATTTCTATTGGTCCTTGTACTATGAGAATTAATTATCATTTATGTTAGTTATGTACTGGTTCAGCGGTTTATGACTGCTACACTATTTAGTAATCAAAAAGATTGGAATTTACGAGAAATTGTTCCCAGATATCCGATTGCTATTCACTTGAGAATATTGTCATTCGAGCGGTCATGATTAGTGCAAGTGTCTGTTTTGGATTGTTTTTTCGTTTTTCAATTGTTGAGTTCAAGATGTTTTAGTCAACTTTTGCCTTATGATCATAGAATTACTGAGAACTTGAATAATTGAATTTTAAGTCGAAGTTTCATTCATAGATGTGCTTTATAGTCACTAGAAACATCATCATCAATTTGGAAGTAGAACAAAAGCATCCATCCTCGAGATATTAATTTGTCGTGGAAACATCTTTCTTTTGACATAGAGATCAAAACAGACGATTATTTATATTGTAAATATCTTAACAAGGATACGCGTTCGCTGTAACTTAAATTGTAGGATATTTCTCATGAATATAAGGTGTATATATGTATGGACAAAATTTCATCTCAAAATTCGATTATTCAAGTTTTTTAGTGAGTCTATATTCTTAGGGCAAAAATTGAGTATAACATCTATAATTCAACAAGCAAAAATCGAAAAATCAAATCAACACTGAGTTTTTTCATTAGTCATCATGTTTAATCAAATAACAATAGTCACAAGTGAAAAGTGATCGGACAGTTGAAAAGCTTCCTTCGTTATGTCAATAATACATGCCTAATTTTCATATTAATTTTCCTGTTCTTTCACGCAAAATTAATAAAGACATTACTATTATTACTCATTAGAAAATAGAGTATGTATGAATTATCAGAAAAAAAAAAACTATATCTTTTTAAATCTTATTATCGTAAAGTAAACAGAAGAAACTTCTATTGGAAACCTTGAGAATTATTTTGAAAAATAGGACTTCAATGAATTTGAATATTTAAATAACTTTAAATGTCTTCATACCTGCAAAGATTAAATTGCTTGGTATAGTTATTTGAGCAGTACCTTTGTCTTTTTTTTCATCATATTGCCTATGTATTCTTGTTCCTATTAAAATTAATTCAAATATAACATAAAAAACAAAAACAAAAAATCTAAACCTTTCTTCCGTTTTATATTCTCTTCTGTTTTTGTTTCATTTTCATCAGGAGTCCTTTTAAAAAGACTGGAAGGTCGATTTTCAGTTGGATTCGGTGTTGTTTCATCAGTTAATGCATTATTTTCTCCACTTAAATATACGAACAAAAAAAAAAGAAAGAAGAATAAATATTAAAGTCAAAATAAGTCTTGAGTGAAAATAAATAAATATTTACAAAATAAATAGATAAATCTACAAATGATATATTCCCATGAAATTAACAATCTACAGGAAAAACTACAGGACGATTATAAAATGTACATACCATTAATAGAGAAAAAAAGTTCTGAAATATATTCTTGATGATTCGAGCGGAAAAACGAAAGATGAATTAATAAAAAACAAAAAAAATACAACTTACCTTAAATTTTCAATGAATTTTTCTTGTAACACATTCGATAATGATGGTGTTGATATGCGAGTATTTTCTATTTGATCAACTATAATTTAATAATAGAAATCAAAAAATTCAAATTATCATCAAATAAACAAACTTTTTTTCTGCAAAAATGGTGATGGAGGTGGAATATTGATTGGTAATTTTCGACGTAATTTATATAATAGAGGTTTTGCCACCCACTTATCTGCATAGTTTTGTGCTATACTTTGTACTACATTCTTCGGCGAACTCTCTTCATCAGTATCTATATGTTTCAATAAAAAGAAATTAATTTGAAATGACTTTTTTAGAATCTTGATTTTCTGTTTTTATTTATTACTTGATATTAAACTATGAATAGCACGTCCCATACGAGGTTTATCGAGTTTTGTACGTACTGTACAATATTCTTTACCATCCCATATTTTAACAAGAATTTGATGTGATAATAATGCTAATAAACGTTCACGATTTAAATCAAGCTTATGACTATTTGAAATAAGAAAAAGAAACAAAATAGATAAGAATAATTAATATAGATATGTAAAACAAAAAACAGATTTACACATGGTTCCAAACTATCCAAACATTTTCATCTTCATCTTCCCATGTTAATACAACTCGACTATCTTGATTATCTGGATAGATTTTTGCAGCTGTTCGAAATACAATAACATCAAAACCAACATTTGCTTCACCAGGTATTAATGAATATTCAATACGATAATATCCCTATTTATAAAACTTACAATAATCAAAATTAATTTTTAACAAATATCTATTAACTTGAATTTTTGATGTTTCAGACACTCGTCCACTAGTATAAGTATTACTCTGTGGTGCAGGAGACTCAGTTGATAATTGTGATTCTAAATATTAATTAAAGATATTGAATTAACAAAAACAAGAAGAAAGTAACAAAAACAAAAAGTGAACTTCAATGTGTAATAAGATAGAACACATATTGCAATGTGAAATCTAAAACATAGCACACATGTAAAACCTTGATCATCTGGAGGGACGATGAGACATAAAGCTAATAGAGAACTAATATCATAAGTTAGTATTAGAGAAGATACAATTTATCATCGGATAGAAAATAAATCAGAAGATTTATGGTATTTATATCTATTATTTTATTAAACTTACCGGCAGGTACAGCGAAAGCAATAGTAAATCGAATATTAACATGATTCATATTTGAACTTGTAGATTCAGTAGTGGGTCTTTCAATTATCACATTTGAACTTAGATGTCTTTCAATATCACTTGATGATTCGACAATTGGTGATAAACTCATATTAATAAATCGGATATTTGTATTTATTTCGATTAATTAAAAAAGAAGAAAAGTTAGTTTATTTATTCTTGCCAAAATACAAGTTTTTTTTTATTCAATTTTAAGTTTTTTTCTTAAATAAACCAACATCTGTCAAATAAAAAAAAGAGAAAAAAAAATATTGATCCACATTCTTCTAGATACATGTTGTTACCATAGTTTTGTCCTCTTTACTAATTTACATACATGCACATCGATACCTAAAAGGAAACGAACAGACAAAAAAAAATAGTGGTCGCTTTGTTCACAGATAAAGTATACAAAAAAAAAAACTTCAGAACCTAGAAACTATTATTGAAAGAGAGAAGAAATTCGATTGTGTACATTGCATTTTTTTGTTTAGTATGTACTACAATGTTAGATTTCAACAAAATCACAACTGTCGTTTTTATACGAACAATTGTAGTCAAAACAACAAACTGCATTAACTAAGAGAAAAAAAAAAGAAGAAAAAAAAAAGGAGTCGAGTCGAATCATGCTGTCTACTCGTTCTTTGTTTTCTTTTTCGTTTCTTTTTTGTGACTCTGATACTGAAAACAAATGATGCTGATTCAGCGTCATACATTCAATTATGACATTTCTTCGATTTTTCATCTTTTCGTTCTTTTCAATTTGAATACAGTATACTTGTTTGTTGCCGATGTCATCCATGACATTAAATAAATATACAAATCATAACAAAACAAAGAACAAACGCTTGATTTGCTTAGTTTACTTTCTTACATTTACTTGAATATAAAGCATCTAGGTAATTTTACGGCAAGAAACATTTACAGATTCAATTCTAGATGGCAAGTCATAGGAGTGGAAGTGTACGAAAAAATAAAAAATTAGTTATTGTTGGAGATGGTATGTGTGGTAAAACGTGTCTTTTACTTGCATTTAAAGATGATCGATTTATTCCAACTCACGATGCCACTATTTTTGATACTTATGTTGCTGATATTCAAGTCGATGGAAAAACCGTATGTATTTATATTAACATTATATTGAAAGAGAAATTTTTTTTTTTCAGATTGATTTAGCACTTTTTGATACAGCTGGTCAAGAAGATTTTGATCGTCTTCGTCCACTTTCATATCCTGATACGAGTGTTGTATTAATATGTTTTAGTGTTGATAGTCCTGTATCAGCAACTAGTGTCATTGAAAAATGGATGCCTGAAGTACGACATTTTTGTGGACAATGCCCGGTGATATTAGTAGCATGTAAAAAAGATTTACGAACAGATCCTCAAATAATTTCAAAATTAAAACAAGATGGTGAAAAACCAGTAACAACTGATGTTGGTAGACAAATAGCAGCACAAATCAAAGCTGATGCGTATCTAGAATGTTCAGCTAAAAGTCGTGAAGGTGTACAAGAATTATTTGTACATGCTGCTCGTTTATCACTTAAACGTGGAAATAAAAAGCGTCGTGTATGTGATATACATTAAATCAAATTTTGCTTGTGTTCTCATATACTTCGTATTATCTCTTTTTTTTTTCTTTCTCTTTTTTTGTGTTTTTTTAATGAATCATTGTATTTCAATCTCTTTTTATATTTAAAGATAAATATAAGAACAATGACAAAATTAGAGAATGCATTGCTTCTATGAAATATTTTTTTATCACAGAAGTATATATATATATAAAATATGCTGCGTTATTGTCTTTGTAGCTTTTCATGGGAATTAATTTGTGAGTATTTGCATGAAGAATGAATTGTGCGAGGGCGGCAGCGATATAAGAATGACGTTATATTTTTATCTTTTAGTCAATATAAGAAGAAAAATAGTTCGGATATAAATGTCATTGTAACGATTCGATCATCACTTTTATAATTTGATTATTCGTTTGAGGTAAATCAATTTTTAGATAATAGATATAGTATTATTGATCGTATTACAAAATGGTTTCACCTTTTTGTAACAAAGGTAAAATGAAAATTTATTAGAGCATATAATCAGCTTAAATCACAAACGATAATTCAACGTATATCATTCACCATAATTATTAAATTTTATTACAAAAGCTTCATTTTTCATGTCTATGCATCTGTTTTTAGTAATAAACACCAAGTGTAGAACATATAAAAAATACAATATTTAAATTCTACGAGTGAATTTATATGAAAAACGTTCCTAAATTAATGGTATTAAACAATAGAATATATTATTAATAACCTTGAAAAAATTTTGAATTATTGATCTAAGATATATTATCTTTCAACGATTGGATTGAAATATTTTCAATGGAAAACATTCATTTATCATTCGCATCGACGAAGTTTAATTATTGTATCTAATCAATGATATTCATGTACAATATATTAATTATATAAATTATAGAAATGGATTCACAACGATCATAGGATGAAACACATAAACATCTATAGCATTCGATGAAGTAACTAGATGATTAAACAAACAGCCATCTTTGCTTAGATTAAATAAGTAGCAATAAAGATTATTATTATTATTATTCGATAATAAATTGCTTTGATACCCTGTTAAAGCATGATTATTATATTGAAAAAAAATATGTTTACTGTATACAATGAAGTATAGCTGAAGAATAAATATTGTTCGTTGCCGAGGTACAAGACAATATCGTAATCAAAAGACTTTTAACCTAGAACACAAAACACACACGCTCACATGATCTCACCATTTGTATTGTATCGTTTGTTTTCTTTCTGTGTGACTACTTGCACTTTAGGTAAGAGAAGTGTTTACGCAAAGAAATAATGAAAAGTAAGAAACAAAATAACAGTGTGTCCTTTTTTCTGAAGTATTCTGCATTACGATCATCTATTGTTTTTTCTTTACAGACTAGGACTATTATTTTTGATAGAAACATCAAACATATGATCAAATTATTGTGATATTTTGAATATCCTTAGTACAAAGAATATATAGAATATAAAATAAGAATTTATTGAAAGAACGTTCTATTTTTTCGTTTTTCATTTTCAGATGGCATCTATTCGAAATTCATCTCTACAGAAAAGTAGAAAATTAGTTGTTGTTGGTGATGGAATGTCTGGTAAAACATGTCTTTTATTTGCATTCAAAGACGATGAGTTTAGTTCGGATCATGTACCAACTGTTTTTGATACATATGTTGCTGAGATTGAAGTTGATGGAAATACTGTAAGCACTAATATACAAAAAAGAAAAACAAAACTTTTTTTTCTCAAAATATCATTCATTATTTCAAAGGAATTATTTCTAGAAAATAAAACATTTATTTATAGGTTGATTTAGCTTTATTCGATACCGCTGGTCAAGAAGATTTTGATCGTCTTCGTCCACTTTCATATCCTGATACAAACGTTATAATTATGTGTTTTAGTGTTGATAATCCAGTATCTGCAGCAAGTATTACTGAAAAATGGATTCCAGAAGTACGACATTTCTGTGGTTCATGTCCAATAATATTGGTAGCTTGTAAAGTAGATTTGAGAACAGATCCTCAAGTTGTTGCATCAATGAAAGCCAAAGGTCAAAAACTGGTATCAACTGAAACTGGAAAACAGATTGCAACACAGATCAAAGCTGATGCTTATATGGAATGTTCAGCAAAAACTCGTGAAGGAGTACATGATTTATTTATTCTTGCAGCTCGTTTATCATTAAAAAAACGTAATCGATATAGAAAACATCGTAAATGTTTATTAGTTTAATTAGTATATTGTATTTTTTGTTTATTCCACATATTGTATTATTGAGATTTTCGAGTAATAGAATTTCAATTTTCATTTTATTTATTTTTCATTCGAATTCTGTAACAATCATAATTATGACAATTTATCAGTTATCTGATAAATAGTTTAATAAAGAAAGTTTTTTATTAGTTTAAATTATGTGTTTATTAAATTTCACAACATTTTATGTTTGAGAATTGATATCAATAGTGAGTAACATTGAAATGATACTAAGAAGACAGTAATGTTCTCTTTTCTTTTTCTTGTTATCATTATATAGTTTGTTTTAGATATGAGTAAAGCATAGTATTTCGAAGTATCTTGTCATTTGCTTGACATATTTTTGAATTTTATAATTGGATTCATTATTCATCAAGAAAATATGATGCTACACAGTAATTTAAAATTAAATCTTATTTCCTATCACATTTCATTTTTTAAAATAAAAAAGCTTTGGGTTCTGTAGATAGATATGTTCCATTTTTTAGGAGATGAAATAAATCTTAATACAGATATATCAATAGCAATGATTAAGAATTCAATAATCAAAATAAAATTATTTGTAACCAATCTAAAACAGAATTCGAATGCCTACAATATAAATGAAAGAGATATATTATAAATCATTGTTGTGCTTAAATGATTGATCACGTGACTGTGAAAATAATAATAGTGTAGCTGTTGCAGAATGAAAATGTATTGAACTTAATGTTATTTTAAGATATATACACGGATTAGTAGCTATTGATGACTACGCTTATCTGTATTTAGTTCTTTTAAACAACTGAAAAAAATTACTTAGCCTAAATTTTAGAATAAGAAGATCAAAATCGTTAGACTTTTGTAAGAAAATGTATTGAAATATACAAGTAGGAATATATATCCCGCGTTTCTCATGGATACCTTAGCAAGATTCTTCTCCATTGCAATTTGTGACAGAAATGGCCCTCGGAATAAAATCTTCTCAGACAGTATTATGAAAGAAAATTGAATTCAAGATATTTATCTTTATTTGCCTTTTCAAATTCATTGTAACGTATTATGAGTGACATCTTTCATGGTGAACATATCAGTACGTTGGAAGTCATAAATCTAAACACATATTGCAGAATCTTTTGATTTACAATGTATTCAGATTCACCACATTTTACATTTTGATTCTTCACAGATTGCACTAACAGCTTGTTAGGTATAATATTAATAGAATGAATTGAAAATCGCATTTCAAAGACTTCTTATTGCTTCATGGACAATCGAATCTTCATCAAATTCATTTATTATTTTTTCGATTGTCATTAGAAATGCCCGATATTCTATTCTTTCGTTATCAGTTTTACCCTAGTCATATATTTACATTTATTATCGACGACAATTACAAGTATTACATTTTACGAAAATATGCATAGAAATACCAACATGCTAAGACTGCTAATACTTCTCTAGAAATTAAATAACATGTAGTTGAAAAATTAATTTAAAGTTCTATCATATACAGATATTTTCTAAAAGTTTGAGTTATTGTATTTTTTTCACGAAATCGATCAATATCAATGAGTTATCTTGTGTATCGAATTTATTTGCATTTTCTTACCATGGTCGAACTATAAAATGAACCAGAGAACAAATATTAATACAAATAAAAAAATCCTAGAACTAAAGTTCAAAACTGATATTAAAATAGTTTGACAAATCAAAACGAATATTCATATGAAATGTTAAGCAAAAAGTTTTTCCAAATGCTTAAAAATTACATGTATATGTTGCTTCATTTATCATACTCAAAACTATATCTTTTGTATAAATTACATCTACAATATAATTTAAAATTTCTCAAAGTTTTTGTATATACAATTGTTGCTTATCTTCTATTATTTATTTTATTTTTAATTATGATCTTCACTATTTGACTTATTGTTTTGTTGTATTTTGATTAAGAAACATTTTTTCTTTGCTATAGCTTCTATACAAATAATACGATTAACAATCTCATCTATGATGAATCCTATTCTAGGCATATTAAAAAGATGTTGATGCATCCTATTCAAAATAATAATATATCCTATGAAAATATTTCTATGTCTGCTTTGATTTCATGTGAAGCTCATCATCAAAACTTTTCTATTTATATCTTTGTCATAAAAAAATAAAAAATTTCATTCTTAGTTTATGTTACTTCTTATTTTATTACTAAATATAACAGAAAATATTTTCTAATGTTTATTAATTTTACATCATGTATAAAATCCTTTCATAAAACTTTGTCATACTAATCTGTTTGTTTTTAATTAAAAAGAAAAACTGCTAGTGTATAGAGTGTAACTGTAAGTAACCTGGAATAAAAAATTACGACTTGTATAGGTCATGGTAAACAGTTCATGAATTTTCTTTTATTCTTCGAAGACAAATGATGATATAGGAAAACATCAAAGCTTCATTTCTTTCAGATAGAATAATGAAATAACATTAAAATGAATTTGTTTTTATGTTGACACACAATTCTTCATTTCTTCACCTGTGTGTAAATTCACTTTTTATTCTCTTCCAATACGTATTGAAAAAGCTGTAAGGAGTCTCAGCATGCACTATAAAAGAAATTAAAATGCAAATAGAAGAAAAAAAAAAACCTTACCATACAAGAAAAAAGTTTATCACAATGTCTTCTTTTGAATGACATTTCCTACATTTATTTCTTAAAAGGAGGTCATCATTATATATGTATATACATATATGCACAATAAATAGTAAGTTCGAATAGTAATAAATGTCAAAAGCATTTACTAAAACGGATAAACCATTAGACATTGAATCAAACAATATAAAAACGATATATTCCTCATAAAAAAAAGTGTCTACTGTATTTTTAGATGGAAAATAAAAAAAAACTAACCAGTGAAAAAAATCGAAAACTAGTCGTTGTTGGTGATGGAATGTGTGGTAAAACATGTTTGTTATATGCATTTGTTTATGATACATTTGATCCAGATCATGTACCAACTATTTTCGATACTTATGCAACAACTATACAAATAGATGATGAAAGAGTAAGTATATTTTTCTTTTTTTTAATTTTAACTGCATATGATAAATTACATTTATTAGTTCGAAAATTATAATTATACGATTTGCATAAGTTTTATGTATTTATGAAATTTTATTTATAGATCACATTGGCTCTTTTCGATACTGCTGGTCAAGAAGACTATGATATTCTTCGTCCACTTTCATATAATGATACAAATATTGTATTGATATGTTTTAGTATCAATCATCCAGTATCAGCTAGAAATGTTATCGAAAAATGGAATCCTGAAGTACGACATTTTTGTAGATTATGTCCAATAATATTAGTAGGATGTAAAAAAGATTTACGAATAGATCCTCAAATAATTTCAAAATTAAAACAAGATAGTGAAAAACAAGTAACAACTGATGTTGGTAGACAAATAGCAGCACAAATCAAAGCTGATGCTTATATGGAATGTTCAGCTAAAACTCGTGAAGGTATACAAGAATTATTTGTACATGCTGCTCGTTTATCTCTGAAAAAATCTAATCGTAAGAAACATTCTAAATGTGCATTGTATTAATACAACACAACATTCGAATTCTTGTACTGATTATCCTTGTATTGAAGAATATTCGTCTAGTTTGTTTTTCTACTTCTTCATGTACATATATGTTTTCCTTATTGTTAGTAAATGAGAAGATCTATCGAAATGAATCAGTGACATGTTCTATTGTCTATTGATTTTCTATTATGGAAAAACTTTATTGAAGTTATGATCTTTAATAGTGAATGCAATGTTTTTGTTTTCATCTGTTTTTTTTTTCTAATTGGATTAAAATCCTGATAAGATTTATCGCACTAGATGAAACGCTTATTGATCATAAGAACATTTTTTCAACAGACATACTTCAAATAATGATCATGTACCTTTCTATGTTGTGATATTTTATCTGCACAAATATTTTTGAATAACTATATACAAAATTTTATTATGTTTTTATGATTAGTCTTATTTGCAAAATAAATCATTAAAATAGATTTTTTTAAAGAGGAATTGTTATCTTTTCTTCACGAATCAAAAATACAGAAAAACTGTATGTCTTCTTACTTCGCAGTGTGTAACAAACCTTATATTCAAATAATTTCGGTTCTCTTATTTTTTTTATTGTTGACATACACGTTATTATTTTAATACTTTATTTATATGACTCATGTTTATTCTTTATATGCGTACAGTATAAATCGAAGCAGCAATATATGACAAATATAAAAAATAAGAGAAAATCTTAAAGAACAGTACAATATTTATGTGTTCTCTATTTTGTGAATAAAATTTATGACTATCATTTATTTTCGAAAGAAAAATTCAATATAATCTCATGATCGTAGGTGTTCAATGCTTATATTGGCCAATCTTTCCATAGCAATAAGTTTTTTTTTGTACTTTTATTTCACTATAAAACGTGATATATATTATCTTGATTTTTATTAATATTTGAAATCCATTTTTGACATACAGATATTCGTTAATTCGATGCAATGCAATTGTGGAAATAAATAAATTTTATATTTAAGATCTTTAGATGATGACAAATAAAAAAAGGAAAGATTCAAAAGAATCGAAAATTAGTTGTTGTTGGTACTAGTATGACTGGTAAAACATATCTTTTACATGCATTTAAAGATGATAATTTTCTTTCATCACATCGAACCACTATTTTTGAGACATATACCATCGAAATCAAACTTGAAGGACAAACTGTGAGTTAAATATGATATATGTTTAAATATCAATTTAAATATTTCCAAGTTTTTTATCAAAGAATGTTGTTTGTTTTTACATTATTATATAGATTAGTATGTCTCTATTCGATAGTTCCAGTCAAGATAAATTTGTTCGTCTTCGTCCACTTGCATATCCTGATACAAATTTAGTATTAATATGTTTTAGTATTGACTGTCCGACATCAAGTATAAATGTTATTCAACAATGGAATCCAGAAATACGTTATTATTGTGATTCATGCCCTGTCATATTAGTAGCTTGTAAGATTGATTTGAGAAGGGATGCATAAACTATAGAAAATTTAAAAAAAAAACAAAATAAAGAATTAATATCAATCAAAGATGCACAAAAACTAGCTGTAGAAATAAAAGCCGATGCTTACATGGAATGCTCAGCAAAAACTCGTGAAGGTATACGTGATTTATTAATCCATGCTGCTCGTTTATCCCTTGCTGATCAATTTTGTCTTGAATTAAGACGAAAATGTTTTTTATTTTGACAAAATGTAAATTTTGTTTATAAGTGTTTTATCCTATAAATTTTTTCTACATTAATAAAGTCTTTTGTGACAATCATTTTTTTTAAGATTTTACTTTTTCTCAACTATCAGTTTAATTAGACTTGATGAAATAAATAAGAGGGATCATTCATAAAAAAAACTTCCAGATGAAAACCTCATGTTTTGAACTCTTTCTTACTCTCTGTCCAGTTTCATTGTCACCTTCCTGGACGTCCATTATAAAAGAAACAACTTTCTAAAAATAAACCTGCTTGTTCAAATATGCCACTTCTTTATTATTATATAAATATATCAAAAAATACTACTAAATATAAAAAAGACACACAAATGAACAAAAAATAGTAAAAATAAAAAATGAAGTATAATATCATCAACACTTGAAAATCTCTTATAACTGCTCCACAAAATAACTATCTATCTATATAGCCTTATCTTCAATCATTTCAACACTGATATTCCTATTAAACTACTCCATTCAATTTATTTTGTGGGACTCACGTATTTTTGAAGAAAATACAGAATGTAAGTTTAAATCAAGGCTTTTATGCCTTCCTACCTCAGACATTAGTAGTCGAAAGTGATAGATTCAAACACCATGGTTTTTGATATTTGCGTGCAACGAAAAGATCTTATGAGAGGTATTAATCAGTGGAACAATAGTGTTATCAATCTAACAGAATCAGAATAGAATGAATATAGAAAATTAGGAACTAATTTGAATTCTAAATTTAGACAAGACTCAAAAGTATATGTCAAAAAGTGTCGAGACACAGGATGATGTGTTCAGAAGGTTGCTGAAAGATTATACCAATCTGTATAGCAGTATAATATGGTGGTTGAACCGACGAAACGTAGAATAAAATCAAATTTGACTCTTCCTAAGACATATATTCTATGTATTATCATTAGGAGAAATGAAGCTATGTATTGAGAATATATTATACAATGCAAAAAAGTTTTGTCAGTATAAAGATATTAAATATATCTAATAGATTAGTAGAATAGTAATTCTAATTGTAAATATTTTCAAAATGATAAAATTTCAGAGCGCGCATATCAACTATAAAATTATAAATAATTAAAAACCTTATGACAATATAGCATAAATTTATAACAGTTGAAATTTATGTGTTCCACACGTTGGCGTCTCTTGAAGTCGTACCGACAATTTTTCCATTTGAAAGCGCTCTTCAAAACAAACTAAATTTTAAAATTTCACCTAACTTTATGTGAAAAAAAAAAGAAACTATTTCTTGTAAGTGTCTGGACATCCATCAATATTTAATTCCTTCTCTCTTCTCTTTACTAAGGTGTTCTTTGTCGATGGTACGAGACATTTAGTAAAAATACAACTTTAGATCATCACATATACGAACTAAAATATATTGTTCATTATATCAGTACGTTTACTATATGTGTAGAAGATAAGAAATTTTTAAGTACATATGTTTTTTTTTTGTATTTACTTATAATACAATCAAGAATTTACCGTTAAAATTTATCGGAAAAAAATCTTTTCATGACTATCATTTTTGAATGAATAGATCTAGGTTGAACAGATAAATTATTTTTTAATTTCCTGAAACAGATTCTTATTTGAGATATGTATTTTCATACAAAGTATTAAATTTATTGCTCGATATAAATCACCAGAGAGAATCATGACAATTTTGTTTGAGCTACAACATGACATCGAAATCAGCTGTTAAGACTATTTTTATTTTTATGTTTGTTATGACATAAAACTCATGATTTTAGTGTTCGTATATGAGTCATTACTCCTTTCTCTTTGAAAATTTATTATAATATAGTCAAATGTACGAAACATTAACAGGGACATACTTAAACAATGTAAAGATTGAAATAGAAATTTCTATTTGATGGTTTTTTTTTTATTAGCAGAGCATTTTTAAAATATACTTTCAAATGATCACTAATATTGTTAGAAATAATGCGAATAACTAAAAGGTAGTGACTGTTGGTCTGGTGAGTCATGTATTCTGATGTCATTTTTACATAATCATTCTATGATAAATTACAAGATTTTCTAATGGCAAACGTTATTATAAGGAGAAGGGCAACTTAGATACGAGAATTATAAGTAAATGAAGAATAATTTCTTTTTCGAGAGAAATATTCAATATTTTACACTTTCGTATCTTAATGTCAATATTGTACTGTTGTATTTCAATATGAATGATAGAAAATGGATCAAAAAATATTATTGAAAAATGAACATCAGAAATACAATATTATAGTGATTGGTGTTCTATAATATTAATGACTTGTAAAACAAATTGAAGAACAAACACTTTTGATTAATTTTGATATTAAGATTAAGAAGTACAAAAATCAGTGTCAAATAACGTTGAGCAAAGCTAATATCAAAATTTCATGCTGATGCTTATATGCAATGTTCAACAAAAACTGATGACGATGTACAAGAATTATTTGGTTTATGCTGCTCGTTTGTCAATAAGAAAACATCACTAGCATGAAAAATAGTGATAAATATATTCTCGGATGATTATAGTGTATGCATGTTATTTTTTTTATTCATATATTTTTATTAAATAAAATAAAAAAATAGTTTTTCTTTTTTTTTATATATTCGAATGCTTCGATAACATTTCAGTATGTTGTAATTGAACGACCTCTTTTTACTTTTAATCATTAGTTTAACAAATGGAACCAATAAAAAAGTATTCAGTGATATTGCACAAGCGCACTGAAATTGTACTTCTATTTTGATGTTTGCTTCCCTTAGTGGTTTCCTATTCACTGAAAAACTATATATATTCGGTTAAAAATCTATTCTCTATTCATTATTTCTTACTTGAGAAAAGAAAAAAAATTCTCTAACCAATGCCACCAAAAAGACGTGCTGCCAAAGCAAAGACAGCAGCTACTCCTGCCAAACGTAAAGCACCTGCAACTAAAAGTGGTTTGTTTATTTAGTTCTATGATTGTTCTATAATATATATATACTATTAATTTTTAGCTCCTGCATCTAAACGAGCAAAGAAAGTAGTTGAAGAAGAAGAAGAAGAAGAAGAAGAAACAACCGTAGCCGATGGAGTTGAAGAGGAAGAATCACCAAAAGTCGAAGTTAGTTTTATTTTTCATTTAAGATTAATATTCTTATTTGATTATTAGGAAGAAGCTTCTTCATCAAAAGCTGATATAATAAAACAATTACGTGCTGCTGATGCAAATAAAACAAAACCAAAAAAACATACCCCAGATAAAAACATACCTGGTTGGACCAGTTATGAAGTAATTTTGTTTTTGCTGCTTTTTTTCTTTTTCTTAATGATCTATTCATATGTTCTTTAGGTTATCGATGATTATGATGCTATGCTTAATCAAACAAATATTGGTGCAAATAATAATAAATATTATGTAGTTCAAGCATTAAAACAAGGTGGTCAATTTTATACATATACTCGATGGGGTCGTGTGGTAAGTTCAACACTAATATTATCTTTAAATTTTATTAAAAAAGAATTAAAATTATAACAATAGGGTGAGTCTGGTAATAATCAAATGTTTGGTCCATTTTCATCGAGTGATGCAGCTATTAAACAATTTAAAAGTAAATTCAAAGATAAGACTCGAAATGATTGTAAGATGACAAATCGTTCTTGTTTTTGAAACTTATTATATATAAATATTTTATTTCAGGGGATAAACGTGATCAATTTAAAAAAGTTGTTGGTAAATATGATATAATTGATATTGCTGGTGATGGTGAAGAAGAAGAAGATGAAGTTGAACAAGAAAAATCATCTACAAATATACCTAAAATAGTTGAAGCTAAAGATGGTACAGTTTATGCAGCAAGCAAACTTGATTCAGCAACACAATCATTAATTAAACTTATTTTTGATAAGGATATGTTTCAAGAAGCATTAAAAACATATGATATTGATGTTAAAAAAATGCCATTAGGAAAATTAAGTAAAAGTCAAATAGCAAAAGGTTTTGAAATATTAGAAGAACTTGAAGCTGTTATGGAAAATAAAAAGAAAGGTTCATACGCTGATATATCATCAAGATTTTATACCACTATTCCTCATGATTTTGGACGAGCACGACCTAAACCAATTGATAATCGTGAAGCTTTACAACAAAAATATGATATGCTTGCAGTATGTCATAAAATCAGATTTGAAAACTGTATTGCGAAAATTTTTAAATGTTATTTAATAGGTTTTAGCTGATATTGAATTAGCTCAAAGTATTCAAAAAGATAAAGATGCTGACGAAAAAGCCAAAAAGAAAGCTGAACAAGCTAAACCACATCCATATGATATTAATTATGGTTTATTAAAATGTACACTTGAACATGTTGATGTTAAAAGTGAAGAATTCAAAGTAATTATAAATTTTATTTTCTTAAAATTTTAATCAAAAAACAATTTGCATGTATTCAGATTATTCAACAATATACAAAAAATACACAAGGTCGTAAATGTGACATTATTGATGTCTGGCGTGTTGATCGTGAAGCAGAAGTAAGTCAAAAGAATACAAAAAAAAAAAAACACATTGATTGTTTTTCTAGGGTGAACGTTTTGCAGAACATGATAAAATTGAAAATCGAAAATTACTTTGGCATGGTACTAATGTTGCTGTTGTTGTTGCTATTCTCAAAACTGGTCTTCGTATCATGCCTCATTCAGGTGGTCGAGTTGGTAAAGGAATTTATTTTGCTTCAGAAAATGGCAAAAGTAGTGGATATGGTTAGTCTAAAAAATATTTTCTATTTAACATAAACAGTCGATCATATTTTAGTTGGTACAGCACAACAAGAAGGCAAAAATATTGGTATTATGTTTTTGGTAAGAATTTTATTTTTCTTTAAAAAAAAAAAAAATTAATAATAATATTATGTTTTGAAAGAACGAAGTAGCTTTGGGTAAAGAACATTCGATTACACTCGATGATTCATCAATAAAAAAACCGCCAGCAAATTTTGATTCTGTTGTTGCTCGTGGTCAAAGAGAACCAGGTTTGAATTTTTTTTTATGGTTTATTGTTTTTTTAATCCCTCTTTAAAATAGATCCAAAAGGTGATGTAGAAATGACGATTGGTGGTAAAAAAATTGTTGTACCAACTGGTAAACCAATTCAAACAATATATACATCATCAAGTTTTTCGCAATCAGAATATTTAATTTATCAAGAAAATCAATGTCGTATTCGTTATTTACTAAAAATGCAATTTTAAAAACAGAACATTTATTTTATAGACTCATGTTTTTTATGTATTAAATGTTGTCTGTTTTTGTAGCAAGCATTATTGCAGACAAAACACGTGCACGCTTTTCATGTGTTTCGTGATATATTAGACCTTTTTTTATTTCTTATCTCGGTGCTCTGAAACCGGTTATTTTATTTTTTGCTTTATATGTTTTAATTATTCTCCCAGTGACTTTTTGTGTTTTGTGATACTTTTTTGAAAGAGAATTTAAGATTTTATTGATGTATTAATGAATGTATTTTTGATCTTTTTCTTTGAAAATAATACATGTCAAATAATATCTAATGTTTCATTTTACAGAATGAGTACGGCATAAATTTGAATGGTTTTCTTTTGATTTTATGTCATAAGGTTTTGAATAGAGTCTATCGGATCCGACGCGATTAAACTTCGAATCATTTGGAAAGAGAAACAATTATCTGTATATGGATTTTTCCATTACAAAAAAAGAAATCGTAAACCAGAAAAACTAATGTATACATTCTTCATTCGATGGCATCAGCTAATCTATTGTATCTATATGTTTTCTTGAATAATTATAATTTGGCTCTGAGATAAGTAAAAAGGTGATAGATGACCTTGAAAAACTTTCTAATAATAATACGAAGAGTATTTTTGACTAACATACAACTTGTCTGTTTGATATAACATGTGATCGAAAAGTAATTAGACACAATATTCATTCGTATTTCAGCCGTTATCAAGGAACCTGTAGAAATCTGAAAATATTGACTTAGAATCAAAATTTTGCTTTCTTTTCGAATATGAGTTAAACATTTTGTAGGACTTTTAGTTTAGGCGTTATGAACCGATCTTTTAGAAGTCTGCAACTCAGGTTAAGACGAGCTTAAGCGTACCAAAAATTAGTCAAAGAAGAAGTAGAAATTTTATTTCGAATAGAACAAACCCTAACAGCAGACATTGATTAATGAAAAGCGTGTATCAATGATTAGTTAGCCCTAACAATAAAATCTTTTCAGCTGTTCCCTTGCGATTTCAAGGATTTATTTGCTTATAGATAATACATAGTGCTGTAATAAAAACTCTGAAAGGATGTCAATTTCTATTAATATTTGACTAGGATATCGAATTTTGTATATGTTTTCTTTCTGAATCCCAGGTTTCCACAAAACTAGTATTTTCGAATTTTAATGGAAAGCTGCGTACATATAGAGAAATCAACTAGACTTGCCTCCATAGAAAAGTTCACAAGTTTTCAATAATGTATGTTGTATACACAATCCATAGACAAGGGTCTACACCTCTGAGGCCTTATATCTCGAAGAGACTTAAATTCAAAACTTGTGAGTTTTTCTATAGGAGTTAGTCTAATTGAGTTCTCTATATGTATAAGATTTCAGATCGAAATTCAAAAGTAGGAATTTTCCGAAAATCTGGAGCATCTACAAAGAAAGATGTACTAAAAACTACATATCTTAGTCAAATCTAAATCGAAACCCAAGTCATTATAAAAGTCTTTATTAGAACACTGTTTCGTATGTATAGGTGAAAAATAGTTGAAACCAGCAGAGAACTATTGAAGAACGTTTCTTCGCAAGTTATTCGTTAGCAGCAAGTGTTTTGATGAGGAATGTCGTATCAATTTCGACACTCACCTCGATTTCTATGAAAAATAAACTTACAAAGTGAGTTCGGTCATTCCTAAGTGAATGCTCTGAAACTCGATGCAAAAAAATTGGTAATCTAGCGTGTGTAATAAAGGAGACTAAAGCAATTTGTGAGCCTCAGAAAGTTACCTCATAATCCCGAAACTAGAGGTCTTAAAAAATTTTCAAACTTATATTGGAAAAGAACATAAAATTCTGGTTCTGACTCGATGTGTTCAAAGTTCTGCAGGCTTCTTAAAAAGGCTGAAAAATAAATGACCATTGTGTCCAGTTACTTTTCGATCACCTGTTGTATAAATTTGTATGCGATTTATGACTAATACATTTATCAAAGATAAAAATAAATGTGTTCATATTTAGTTGATATTCATTGAGTTTTAGGACAAAATTTAGGTGTCATAGCAATGACCTTGTCTATCTTTTATTTCGAAAGAATTTTGAAATTTTTGTAAAAAGAACATAATCCTATGTTAACTGTTTTAGATGATAAAACAAGCAACAAAACCTGATTATAGTAAAATGAGTGAAGGTGAATTAAAACTTTTACTCAAAAAGCATCAACAACTATTAAATAATACGTAAGTGTAGAAAGCATTTGTTTATTAAATAATTTCAATCATTCTTTTTTTTTTTTTATTGTATTTAAGACGCTTAATCAATGGTCTACCGGACAAAGGTCAACGTATACATAATGCGATAGCCGAAATCGAAAAATTTCTTGCAGTGCCATCATCACCTATGGATTGTGATACTATAACAAATCAATTTAGTCAAATGACAATGTCATCAAATGATAATGAAATTATCAACGAAAAAGTTCATCTGGAAAAACCTGTAAAAGATACTATTAAAACAACCATTAATAATGATTTTTCTGATAAACGTTTAAATGAAGTTAAACAACGTTTAAAAGCTCGACAAGCTGAACGTGATAGTAAAACAACAGTGACAAAAACAAAGCTTATTTCATTAGATGAAGCTGTTCGATTATATAATGAAGAGAAGAAACAAGCAGAAGTAAATCTTTTTTATAAATATTTTCATTTTAAACGAACATATATAGTTTATTTGACGAATACAACTTTCTTCATTTTTTTTTTGAAATATATATGCAGAATGTAAAATATTTTTTTCTTTCTCAATTTTCTCGATTGTACGTTTCACTATGTTAGTTAATGTTATCGTTATTTCTATAACAGATAGTTCATTGTTCTAGCCAGTTTGTTCTATAAATTATAGTCGTATGAGTCTAAATTCGGTGAACAATTATTCTTCAGGTAGAATGTAGGAAAATGATTGACACACTATTTTTGACTCAATTGAACCTAGATATTCAGCGTGACTGTTGTTATTCATGGTCAGTACGATGAAGGGAAGGGAGACTCGAGAGTTTGATTCATATGTAGATTGATCTCATTAACCTTTCTAAAAAGCATTATTTGTTGAATTATTTGCGACATTCCATCATGCTCAGCAATGTACATTTAGCTTAAGCTATAGTTTTAAGATTCTATTTAGAGTCTGGCATCAAAATCTGAAACATGACTTCGCCTAGGGCTGAGTCAGAGTTTTAAAAAAAATTTTTTTCTTAGTTGAAGTCTGAGTCCAAAAAACTTGACTCTGTAAGGCTCTAGACTTGTTAGCCAGGTGGTTTAGTGCTCAATAGACAGGCATAGTGCTAAGGAATATGAATTTAGGTCATACTATAGTTAGAGTATGCTGCTTAGCCCTACGCCATCTTACTGAGCAGTATGTTTTAATGAAAAGACATGCTGCTCAACACGACCAAATGTAGCAACTAACCAAAGAAATATGACTTTTTATAGAATTAATGAGACCATTTTATGTCTAGACAGAAATTCCTGAAATTCATTACAGTCATGACCATAACTATGACTAGAAGTCGGCCACAGATGGTAACAGATACTGAAATAATCGCAAACTTCGTGTCTATTTGCATTGCATTCGGTTTTTCACAACACAAACAATGTCACCTTTTTTGTGTACTCAAAAAGTGAGTACACTTCTAGAATCGGTCAGTGTGTCCGGCCGTCCGGCCGTCCGTCCGTCCGTCCGTCCGTCCGTTTACACGATAACTTTTGAAAGGAGAGTCCGATCGCGATGAAATTTTCTACATAGTTTAGTCTTAACAATATCTCGGTCGAGTTCGAAGATGAGAAGGATCGGCCGAGCCGTTCCTGAGTTATTGCAAAAATACCCATTTTTTCCTATGGCTTCCTATGGGAAAATCGACCCATCGCCGCTTTCGTAAAAGACTTTTCATATCATAGTCAACTAAAACTCCAACTATTATATACCATTCGATAGAGAATTTCAAGAGCTACAAAATGGTTTATAGAACATAAAGACATAAGAAGGCTGACTCACCTATCACAAAGATAATTAAACGAAATTCGGTTCTGTTCTTGTCCATGCTCTAATTGATCCACAATTCGAGCTCTATCTTACGATCACAGAGATGATAGTTGGAGGTTTTCTGGGCTGGAGAACTCGAATCTGTGCTCCATTCGCCTCGAAATCCCATTGGTTGATCAGTAACCAATAAAAATCAAGTGTTTATAGAAAAGGTTTGCCAGGATAGTTTTTATGTCCCCACATTCTAGAATAACTCATCTGTCTCATTTACTTTTTGAAGTACACATAACTCTCGGATTTAAATCCGAGGTTTCCACATTTATTTCTAACTTATTTTGATAATTTACTCATTTTTGTACTCTGAATGAAAATAATTACAAATAATTATTAGAGCATTTTTTGAGCTGGAGTTGAGTCGTTCACAGATCACTAGATGAAATAAATTTTGTTAATTAATGTTAAAAAAAACTTGTGTTTTTCTTTCTTTTCACTGTAACATATTCTCAGTGCTTTGAACAATAACAATCTATCTATTGTCGGCGCCAGAATTAAGTGTGGGTTGATGTAAGATGAATGTCTCGAGAACGACAATAGCCAGCAACCATAATGTATGTAGGCGATTAGACAAGAGTTATAGATCCATAGAACTCATGTTGTTGATTTATTTTTATCCAGCATAAAGTTGCTCTCTGTGAAACCAGTTCGCCCACATGAAAAGACATTTATCCTAATCCATCAAATATTTTCATATTATTTTTTCCGACAGTTGTTGACAAGTCCTTATTTTTGCTTGCTTTTGTTAAGTACATTTAAAACTATTCTTAGATTCAACCATATATGACTTTTTCAGAGAATTTTTAAAGTATTCTTCCAAGAAAAATATGTTTAAGCCGACTGAAGAACTTAAAAATATTAAAAACATAAATAGCTTAATTTATTTTACGTCATCCATTATTTCAATTATTGAATTTATAATTGTGAATATTAAATATATTTAAAATGCATATTAGACAAAAAGGCTCTTAAAGAAATAAAAGAAAATATTAATGACTTTTTTTTTATCCTTACACAAGTATAATACTCTACAATCTATAGTAATCTTTTATTTCTTTTTTATAATGTATCAAGAATTATGTCACATCGTTTTTAAACTTTGAAAATACTTTATTGAGACACATTCTTTGCAAAAGATTAATTTTTATTCATATACTGAAAATCGGAGAACAACTCGACTAGATCTCTTATATTAAATTTTAACTTTTGATTGACAAATTAATCTTTTTTTTTTAATAGGAACATTTAATCCAGCAAACAACAGCAAGGTTACTTGGGAATATGTCTCTTTCAAAAGCCACATTTGGTCTGCCACCAACAACATGTAAAACTGATCTTACGTAAATATACAACAAAATTTTGTTTTTCTGCTTTTTCTATCAAAATTTAACCTTTCATTTTTAGATATCGTAAAACTACCATTGAAAAAGATAATGATGATGATGATGATCATATAGATGAACTTGGTCGAGAAAAAACAGAAATAGTATCAGATCATGAAAGTGATGAAGTTGATTATCCAGATGATGAAGAAGAAAACGATGATGATTAAAAACCTAAAATTTCATCATCCTTTTTTTTAAATATTTTCTTAATAAACTTGATATATAGTATTTTTCTTATGGAATAAAACAAAACAAAGAAATACAATATGATTTGGTTGATGCAAATGAAAAATTTGTACCGAATAATGAAGCTAAAATATCTCCTTTGTTGAAAGAATAAATCAACACTATGCATGCATGTATGTCAACACGATAATAATGTTTATAACCTTTTATTCTCGTTGTATTTATTGTCTTTTTATCTACATACATATGCATATCATGCATTGAATGTATGTACCTAAATAACCAAGAAAAAATACAATCATCGAGTGTTGTATGTAATTATAGAGAACAATAAGTGTTGACAGTCAAAATTGTTAATATCTTAATAATACCATAACGTCTTTCAACAATTTTCTGTTATTGTCATAGGAATACTTCCATGCAAATTAGTTAGTTAATATAAAAAGTATAGATTGATAACGTTTTTTTTAATCTAATAAATCTTATGAAGTATAGAATATTTTGTCAATGCTTGTGATTCAAAAAGTTATGAATTTCTATTTTGTTTTTTAGTTAGATTATGCCAAATGTAAATATTTCAAGTAATATTTTTCATGTCTAGTGAGCTTCTTCTTCTTTTTTCTTACCAACATAACCTGTCACGAACAGATAAAATATAAATGAAATATCACATAACTACCATTTAGTTTTTTAATTAAAAACACAACTGATGTTTTTTTACGCTCTACAAGGAAAAAAACAATTTTTTTATTCTCTGGTGAGCATGATCATTTCAATAATTGCACTTCGAGACCAAAAAAAAACCGAAACAGAACATCATTAGATATTGACAGACAAACACCAGAAACAGTTTTATCTTTATTCATCCCGATTAACATTGCTAGTTTTCTCCATATGCTTTCTAAGGCTTTATTTTAACATCAAATAAATCATCATGGTACTGTTTTCTTATCTTAATTTTCATATCAATAAACATATTGCTCTCTTTTGTAAGGTTTTTATCTACACATATTTAAAGGCTTCAGAATATTCATTTGTTTTCTTTTGTTTTTTTTTTTTATATATATACAAAAAGTTAGTGACAAAAAAATAAATATAAGACATAAACCGGGTTTTAGTAAGAATACTAGTACCTTAGAAAACAGTTTAGACGCCAGCGTCAATCATCTCTATATATCAACCATACAAGCAAACGATTCAAACAAAATAAATGACTAGAGACGAAATATTGTTTAGTTCTTTGAACGAATAGCATTTATTATTGCTTGTCTTTTTCTATGATTCATTACTTGATCCTAAACTTGATGTTGCATTTTTTCTTTCAGGTCGTTGTTTTAAATGAACTTTTAAATGTCTTGTAATCATATCTCGTCGGCAAGCAGCATATGAACATTCAGGACATGCATAAGGTTTTTCACCTGTATGAGTACGTAAATGTGTCGATAAATGATCACTTCGAGAAAAATGTGTATTACACATTGTACAACGATATGGACGAATACCAGAATGTAACCGTAAATGTCTATTTAACATATCACTTCTAAAAAACAACATGCATGAAAAAATTTTAATTTATAAAGTATAAAAAAAATATTTTTACCGAGAAAAACGTTTTGAACATATTTTGCATGAATAATTACGTGCTTCACCAAGACGCATACCATTATTATCCATTTGCGTAAAATCAAGTATACCTGATTTGTCATCTTCACATGAACTTTCAAGATGAGCACGATAATGAGCTAAATACCTAGAAAAATATTAAAAAAAAAAGACTGAATGTTTTTCTTTTAAATATTAGTTATATGTAATTACGTTTGCCTTGATTCAAATTCCTGCCGACAAATCTGACATGGTGGTACGGATGATGAGTTTCTAGTACTATTTGAATCTTGTATTTCCGTTTTAAATCTAAATTGATGATATTTATTCATGTCAAAATAATATAATAAATCTATTTTCTACCTTGGAGAAATTGGTGTAAAGACACTTGGTTCATCGCATAAAAACTTTGTTAATGTTGATAATTGTGCAATACTACCTTGTGCACTAGCAACAACATGTTCTTGACTTTTTGGAAAATGAAAATTCACTAAACTATATGGATTTGTTGGTGTATTTGACCATGGTGAAAGATATGGACCAGGATCACTTGATGCTGAATAAGGGGTAACTGGTAAAGGTACACTAGTTTGACATGACATTGTTGTTATATTTGATGAAAATGTTCGTTTTTCATTTGGATGTTCAAATGAATGTCGATAAGGTACAAATAAATTATTATTATTTCTATTTGCTGATTCATCAGTTGTTGGTTGATCAGAATATGAATGTCGAAATGGACGAGTTTTTCCTTGATGTTGAATATTTGAGTGAATAGATAAATTTTTTGTTTGATCACCAATATTATTATCATCATCATCATCATCAGGTCGATCAATACTAAACGTAATTTTACCTGCATCAAGTTTTTCAACAGTTACTGGTGATGTTGGTAATGATGTCATGTGTTCATCATCAATATTTGATGCTGGTGTATCTTCCATATCAATAGTTGCACAACGTTGTAATAAACCACGTTTACTTGATGAACGTGTAATATTTCCATCTTGTGATTGAATAAAATTTGTATCTGATGAACTTAATGTACAACACAAATTTGTATCCGAGACAGAATGTTGAAGTAAAGCGGATGATAAATCAAATGAATGAGCTTTTACTGTTGGATTTGATGTATGGATTGTTGATGGTGTTGAAGACGCATTTAAAAGTGTATGTCGATGATGATGATAATAAGAATCATTGGATTTTGATATATGTTCACAACTTTGAACAAGTTCTGATGGTGGTTCTCTTTTTATATAATGATAATTTAAATCATCACTACGACATTTTATAAATGTTTCTTTACGTGCTTGATGTTCATTAATTTGTTCTAAATAACGACGTTGTAAATAATCTTTTAGTTTACCTTTAAATGTCTAAATGAACAAAAAATTAAAAATAATTAATCAAAAAATGAAAAAGAAAAAAAATCATGTATTACTTGTGAATTTGTAGTTGATGGTGATTGATCATTTAAATTTATATTTGGAGTTTCTGGTGTAGTTATTATTGAATTTTGTAAAATATCACTTTCAAATGAAGATTTTTCTGATATACTACGACTATGTATCGAATGACGATTAGTTAAAGATGTTGGAACACGTAAACCACTATTTGATTCCGTTGATGTTTGCTGTTGTGGTGCTGTAGCTAATGATGAACGACTTGGTGTACGACTTGGATTTGATGATGCATTATTACATTCAACAATACGTGTATTGGGAAAAAATTGTCGAAGTATATCAATAATATGATCAAGTTCATTAGGATCAGTTTCAATAAGTGCATAACTTCGAACAGGTGAATCATTGTCTGAACGGTTACCAGCTATACTTGATGGAGTATTTGTTCGCACACCTGTTTTAACATTATCAATGTCAGATGAAAATTCTTGTTGTTCATCGATAAATGAACCTTGTTTTGATGAATGCATTGAAGACACAATAACAGAACTAGTTGAATTTTTGGATACTGTCGATACGGCTGGAATGCACATAGTCGTATAGACAATGTGTTAAATTAAAACTAATTTCGTACATTCAACAAAAATTTTAATCTAAAAAAAATTTAAATTTTATACTTAGTTGTCTTTTCTTTTTAATAAAAATATGAACTCATGGAAGGACTAGTCATGTATTCAATTAATCTGACTATTTGTGCCGTCTATTGTTAGCTAACGTTCGGGTACCGATATAATTATCATTTTGTCTCTCTTGGTTTTTTTTTCTCGTCTCAGAAATGCGCGTGTATTCACACACGAGAAGAAGCAAAAGAATAAAAGAAGATTTTCTTCACAAGCGCAAACATTGATAGCATCCTTTTTTTTTTATGCGGAAGACGAGAGTTGTGTATATTTGTGCGCTAAGAAGAAAAAGATGATGATGACGATGGTAAAGAAGAAAAGAGACGAAGAATCTAAGAAATAACAAATATTAGCCCAATGATGATAGTTATGGGTGGGCGAACGAACCAGTAAACATAATACTGAAGAACATATTTGCATTCGAAAATTCTATTTTTAGTGAATTATTTCAATGAATGAAAGAACATAGACTCTCATAAATTACAAAATGAATACTTAATCTTTTGTCTATTCTATTTCATCGAGAAATGAATATGATTAAGACAACTTCCCGTCGGATCCAAATTATCTAAATTAACAACGTGATACATCCACATTTATGTGCTTATATATATATATTTTAAGTGTTTTATGCCAAACTTTAATGAAGATGTCTACGGCTTTTAATCATGCACTAAATCAAGGCTATGCGACGAATAATATCAAAAATGTCTTTATTTTTCTCAACAGAATCAACAAAGAATAGATGAAGACTCAAGAGTAAAATAAGAAAAAACAAAGTTTTTTTTTCTAATTATTATATATTAACTCCCACATATATCACAAGAAATATGTGATCAAGCAAAGACAATAGGAGAAAAGAAAAAAACTATGTAAAAAGTAAAAGATACTAAGTAAACTAGTAGAAGAAATAAGCATCTGACCTTAAAAAGTTCTTTGAAAGTTCCTAATAGCCTATATCAAACGTCGACTTGCTCTTTCATTTTACTGATTACTTCTTATTTAATTATTTTTTAACAGATTCTCTAATGTTTTCACTTCCGGTGAAATCATATTTACTATTATTTTATTACAATAAAAAAAAAAAATATTTACGAAATATGTGACTCTAATTTAATTCACAAAATAAATCTTTTTTGATTGGATATTTCTAATCAATCTTCATTTGATATTTTTTTTTAAATTTTTTCTAATACTTTTAGTATTATCTAACTGATGACAATGTCTTTTATCCACCCACGTTCTATCGCAAACTAAGTCGATTTTGGTTTTTCTTTTCTATTTTTTTCTCAA